AACGGTTTGCCTAAACGACATATTAGCCATTATGCTGATACCCGAGTCGTCGCCAGTGATCATACTGGTAAGGACCATCCAGCGCCTTAATGGTCTCGGCATCAAGGTCCTCCACTGCCTGCTTGTAACTTCTGCTCACGCCGTCCTTCGCGCCAGAGTCTCCGTAAAAGGCGTCTATCGTCTCGGCAATGCGCATCTGGGAAGCAGTCATGGCTGTTGCACAAAGTTAGCCCACAGTCATCCTTGGCAAAGGGAGGTGCATAGTCGTAGACCGCCAAACCCACCTCGCAATGAATCCAAGTAACCCTTTGCCTCCTTCTGCAACCGCAAGGAAGCCGTCTCCATGGTTCTGAATCGTCTGCCAAAAGAAGTCTCAGTATTGTGTTTCGTTCCGTCGGGCGTCTCGGCCTTGGGGATAGGGTGTAGCCCACCTCTCTTCCACCTCGTAGTCGCGGTCGTTGGTCTTCTCCACATGGCCTGCCAAGATCAGAACCTCTTCGTATTTCATGACTGTAAGTTGGGCAGAGAGGGCTCACCCGTCTTCATCATCACCTGCGTCGTCGCGCGGTTGACATTTTTCTTGAATCCTGTAGCCAAATACCATCAGTCCAGATCCTTACTTGTTGGTCTTCCATTTCCTTTTGCTCAGGTTGCGCCCGAGGAGGGGTCATCCGAGACTCTCAAGTCGTACCTGCCCACGACATCTTGGCTGTCTTGCTGTGTGTTTCCTCTTTGTACTGGGTGCTAAGGTTCGGAATAAAAATTCGGAGGCACTAGAATGCTCGAGCGGGTAACGTATGTGAACTGATCACTCGGTGGTTTCGGCAGGTATCGTTGTTCGTAGGAAGGCCGTTTCGTCGTCCGGAATTGAACTGATGGGGGGTGTGGTGCACTGGGTGGTGGAGGGGGAGAAAGGAAATGCGGTTTTGATTGCGCGGACGAATCACTCAATGCACCTGGAGCACAGCACCTGAACATGCTGGGGAGACCCAACTGCACCTGGGCAGCGCCCAGAAACGGAAACCGACGTCAGCGAACAGAGGCTTTGGAGCTGCGCCACGGCCTTGTTGGTGCTAGCTCCTCTTAGCGCCGGGTAGCTCTGTGGCTCAGCCCTGTAGGCAGCCTGTATTGCTGTGCTTACCTAAGGCAGCTGAAGCCAAGGCGGTGGGCGCAAGTGCCGTTTTCCGATTGTTCACTCCCCGGTGACTCAGCGTTAGTGATTAGGTAAGGAGATATTTGTGCAGCCGTGCATGAGGCCAATTCGGCCCAGACGCTTTCTTGTGCAAACACAAGCTGCTGATACGACTTTTTATGCACACCTTATTAGACCCGGAGAATGGCCTCAAATTCTTTATGCTGACGAAGATATGTTCAGTCCAGCCTTTAATAATGTTACAAGTCCCCTGGTTTTCATAGCCTCTCATGATAAATCTCAACACCACCACTCTCTCTTAATTCATTCATCTCATTACATTACAGACAGCACCAAAGAAAGAAATAAAAATGAGCGCCCCTCGTTTTCTACTCATCAGCCTGGGAAATCCAGAGCCACACTACAACACCCTTCACTCCGCTGGTCACCATGCTCTCAACTCTCTACAAAAACTCCTGGGTCCCTCTCAACCCGCCTTCCATAGAGGCCGCTTCGGTGGCAGCTCCTGCCTAGCCTCAATCGGGCCCAAATACGCAATGATCCAGAGCCCCTCCGTCATGAATGTAACCGGGAAATGGTTGGCAAAAGCATGGAAGGAAACCCTCGGCACCCGGAACCCAGCAGACCTAAGTCTCATCCTTGTCCACGACGATCTGGAAGAGGACCTGGGCTTCGTCAAAACAAGAAAGTGGAAGAGCAGTCACAGAGGCCACAATGGTATCAAGAGCGTCAACAACTGTCTCCGCGAGGCAGATTACCCAGAGTCAAAATGGGCGAGGATAGCAGTTGGCATTGGACGGCCCGATCAGCGCGATCACTCTACGGTATCTAACTACGTCCTGAAGCGCATGACCAAGGACCAATGGTCTGCCCTCGAAACCAACGGAGGCCCTGGCGTGCTTGAGTGCCTTCTCGCATTCGAGGAGAAGCTTGACGCTGCAGCGGGGAAGTGAAGTATCCGAAGCTTCACCCAGTTCCCCTCCTCTACCTCATACCCTCGGCGCACGGTAGCCCACATCCTACCCTGCATCCATTCTGAGCCTCCAACATGAATAAAGGCATCAAAAATGCAGCAGGAGACGACGGTCATTGCGAATGCGTCTCTTGATAGACCTAGGACATTGCTGAGTCTGTCCCTGGTGCCGGGCGCGCAAAGCAAAGCCTCATGTCGTCGGAGCTAAAGGCTATGAGGAAGCCACGGGGCGAATCAATTCGCCATCAGTGAGCGTCCCATTCCTTACTTCATGTAGCCTCATCGGGCCCAGGCCGCCCATCAAGCCATTTGCTCATGTACGGCCCATCGAGCCAGTACCCGAGCTTAGCGTAGTAGCTTCTCACACCTACACCAGAAATAACACTAATCTTTTCGCTGCCGTGTTCGTCCCTTGCAATTCTCTCTGCCTCCTCCATCAGGAGCGTGCCGAAACCCTGGTGCTGGAACTTCTTCGGGTCTCTAGCGTGTACCGGCACTGCAGTACCGTAAACGTGCAACTCTCTGACCAGACTCGTCGGCTGTCCAACGAGCTCCTCTCGGTACGTGTACTTTTCGGTGCACTTTCGTAGACGCAATAGTGCAACGAGAATGTCCTGCTTCGGGTCCTCGTACGCAAGGAACGTTTCCCATCCGCCGTTGGCTGTGTAGTCTCGTCGCACCAGCTCGATCTGGTTCGGCCTAATCTTGTTCTTGACCTCGTTGACACCGACCTCGCGCGTCCGCACATCTCGACATGTTGTGCCGAAATCCTTCATTCTTGCCAGTGCCAGTTCACGCAAGTTGCCGTTCTCCACACCAGACGTGACCAAAGGCATGGGGATATCTCTCTGGACTCGGTAAATACGTGTCCATGGCGGGATAAGCGCCAGAATTCGCGCAACCAGATCGATCAAGCCGTTGGGGGTGTAATTCTGGTATCGGCCTGTGCGCCACAGCTCGTAGAGGCCAGTGCCTCTGATGACGAGAGTCGGGTAAATTTTTAGACCGTCCGTACGGAACGCAGGGCTCTCAAAGTACTCCCGGAACTGGTCCAGATCTCTCTCCATGCCCACGTTAGGCAAATCAGGCATCATGTGACTGACCACCTTGAAACCAGCGTCCTTGGCCAGGCAGAACGTCTCGGCGACGGCGGCAACGGTGTGACCACGATTTGTGTCTCTTGCGACGTCTTCGTAGAGCGACTGGACTCCAATCTCCAACCTCGTGCAGCCATAACGCAACATATCCGTCAGATGCGGCTGCCAACAGTAATCCGGTCTCGTCTCAATTGTGATACCAACGCACTTGATGTTGCTCATCTCACTAGCCTCCACTGCCTCGTCCACATTCGATGTCTGATATCCGCTGAGCGCATTATGTAATTGGGCGATAAAGTCCTCCCTGTACGGTACCGGCAGTGACATGAATGTGCCACCCATGATGATGTACTCCACCTTGTCGACTGAGTGACCCAGAGACTTGAGCTGGTCAACACGTCCGCGGGCCTGCTCAAAAGGATCGTAACGTGCGCGAATCGCTCGCATCGATGTGGGTTCGTATCCGGTGTAGGATTGTGTGCTGTATTCGAAGTCGGAGTCTGGACCGCCGGGGCAGTATACGCAAATGTTGCCCGTGTAAGCAATGTGCGGACATCTGTGAGGCTTGCACATTACGGCCACTACAGCGATACCCGATGACGTTCCTAGCCGATCTAGTAAGCATGCGTCCGTTTGTGCGGAGAATCAGAGGGACGGCATACGGATTGGCTTTGCAATGAGCTTCGGCAAGATGTATTTCTTGTAATGCTCAGGGATCGCAGCAATAATGGCCGTCAGAGGCGGGATATTGGCGAGCTTGTGCTTTCTCGAAAACTTGTTGCGCAAAGAATTGAGGTTGAGGTCCTTTGGCGGGTTCTTGGGGTCCCTGATAGCCTCGTGGTCTTCGATGAGGGCGTTGGCGACATCTGCGCAGCATCGTAGGAAGCGCTCGTTCTCTGGTGGGAGGTTATCGTTCTTGGACCGCCCCTTGGTGACGGTGACGGTGGTGGTCGCCATCCTGAGGGGTATGTGGGTAGTTCGAGTTTGGTGGGCGGTCGTCTCTTTGGTCGTTCGTCTTGTTACGGCGGGATATTTTCAAGTCGAGGTCAGTCGCGTGTTTGCCGTGAATTCGCCCCCGTAGCGTCAAGTCGTCAGAGTCATGAAGTCGGAGTGTCGTTAGGGGTTGGAGAGTTGACTGTCCGATCACTTTGAAATTTTGGAGGAACCCGTCAAATGCAAGTTGCTGGATGGTGGGGTAGATCAGCCACAGCTTCACCCATTTGGAGACGCCACACGTCAAATCTGCATGTTGAAGTCGGTACGTACCGCACGTACCGTTCAATGCAGGAGGGGTTTGGCAGGCACAGCTGGCAGGGTGCCCTTCGGTGCCTTCCCAATGTTCCCATCTCTGAGCCGTGCTGATTGCCGCGGCCTTCATTGGTCCGGTCGGATCATCCCCTTCACCGAATCGCCGAAATGGGCCACGGGTTTTCCCGGGCGTTCGGGTCCCGTGCTTGCCTCGTGGAGTCGTGGCTCGCCTGCTGCAGACCCGGTTGTCTCGCAAAAGAAGCGAAAGAGCTCGGTTCAAGTTTTGCTGCTGGCCTTCCCCTACTGCGAGTTTGACCCTTCTTTCGGAAAGTGACGTGAATTTGCATTGCAGCCACAGCTATCTTCTCTTTTTCCCTTCCCCCACGATAGCCGCCATCTGCCATCCTCTCTCACCAACGAGATCCTCCTCCGAATCCCATTACTTCCTCTCCTTAATTGGCGCCGCGGTTCTTTCGAAGCTGCGCTGTTCTACGTATTTTAACACACACATACACACACATCGCCCAAGATGCAGTCCCTGAGACAGATGCGGCCGGCAGGCAAGCTCCTGAACCAAGCCGCGAAGCGTGCATACAGCGCCTCGGCAGCTGGCCCTTACACCAAGACCATTGACAACCTGCGCATCAACTCCGAGACCAAGGTGCTTTTCCAGGGCTTCACTGGCAAGCAGGGAACGTAAGTGGTGTTATCTTCCTCCGATGCCCGAGGGGCCGACTACCTCAGTAGCACATGTTTTCCCACCCCTGTTTGGGTGTTTTGGGGAGAGGCATATCTGGCGATATTTACTTTGTCCGCGCCTGCGCAGATTGATAGGCATGAAAGAAGATCAGTCTCAGCTAACAACAATTTGCGACACAGCTTCCACGCGCAACAGGCCATCGACTACGGTACGCGATAATAACTCCGAAGCAATTGCGCGACCCATATCTCTCTCTCTCGCGCATCGCAAAAACCTTACTTTGGAAACACTCCGAGGCTGATATCAATGGACATGTACAGGCACCAAGGTCGTCGGTGGAACGAACCCCAAGAAGGCTGGCCAGGAGCACCTCGGTCTCCCCGTCTTCGGCAACGTCAGCGAGGCTGTCAAGGAGACTGGCGCCGATGCCACTGCCATCTTCGTCCCGTACGTTAACTCTACAAGATCGTAAAGAAGATCCCTGGGAGAGTAGGATGTTGACCTAGAATTCAAACAGCCCCCCTCTGGCCGCCGCCGGTATCGAGGAGGCCATTGCCGCTGAGATCCCCCTCGTCGTCTGCATTACTGAGGGTATCCCCCAGCATGGTATGCTCCCCTTTGCCCTCTCCAAGTTCCTCTAAAGCTTCAAAGCTCTGAAGTGAAGCTTTAGAGTGGCTTGAACCTTGAAGCAATCTCGCAGCTCGAATACTCACCATCCCCCAGACATGGTCCGCATCACCAACATGCTGAAGACGCAGTCCAAGACCCGCCTCGTCGGCCCCAACTGCCCCGGCATCATCGCCCCCGGCCAATGCAAGATCGGCATCATGCCCGGCTTCATCCACAAGCGCGGCCGCATCGGTATCGTCTCCCGTTCCGGTACCCTTACCTACGAGGCCGTCAACCAGACCACCCAGGCCGGTCTCGGCCAGTCCCTCGTCGTCGGTATCGGCGGTGACCCCTTCAGCGGCACCAACTTCATCGACTGCCTCAACGTCTTCCTCAAGGACGAGGAGACGGACGGCATCATCATGATTGGCGAGATTGGTGGTTCCGCCGAGGAGGACGCCGCTGACTTCCTCCGCGCCAACAACACCGTTAACGGCGGCAAGCCCGTTGTCTCCTTCATCGCCGGTATCTCCGCGCCCCCCGGCCGCCGCATGGGTCACGCCGGTGCCATCGTTTCTGGCGGCAAGGGCGGTGCCGACTCCAAGATCTCCGCGCTTAAGTCCGCCGGTGTCATTGTCGAGCCCTCCCCCGCCGGCCTCGGCAAGGCCCTCTACGACGAGTTCGTCCGCCGCGACCTCTTGTAAAAAAAAACCTGAACCACATCATATCTTCCAGACGTTGAAGGGGAAAGCTTCAGCTGTGTATGTAACATGTTAAAGAAGAGATTTTTGTGTTGAGAGCGTAGTCACCGGGATGGTCCCTTCGTGTCGTTGCGGAGGATAACGGACGGCGCTACCCCGTTTGCATCGCGCGGGTTGCGCTAAATGCGTGTGCGTGTGTGTGTTTGAACATGTTGCCCCAAATAACTTGATATAGACTGGAGGTTGGGCAAGGAACAATAGGGCAAGCATATGAAGGAAAGTGGAAGAAATGGGAAAGTTTGAACAAGTTCCTCAAGACTTCACGAAGTGAGAAACATTGCGGATCCTCTCTCCCATCCCTCTCCACCTCCAGTTTTGTATCTTTAATTCCCCAAGCTTTATAAACATTTTTATTACCGCGAGATATATGCAATGCTACCCGCTATCTCATTCCTCTGACCTCATTCGTTGCGCTTCGCGCCATCTCGGCATGTAGGGCCCTTGCCGTCGTACGACTCCCCATACAACATACAACCCCCGAGTAAAACCAACAAGGGTCCCGTCCCCGAACCCCGAGGGGAAAGCGGCTTCGGCCCAAAAAAAACTGGGGACCAGTATCCGGAGGAAAGGATGCGGTTTTCATGTTGGATGATGTGGATTTTGAGTCGCCAATCTACTTACTAAAGAGGCCAATGCGACCTTGGTATGCGAGAAAGCATACATAAGCTAGGGCTACCTGTGTATCTTACAGAAAACACTCTTTGCTAGAAAGCTGCTGGAAAGCAGTGATGGAAGAAGAGTAGAAGAAACCAAAAACGTCCCGCGTGCCCAAAACGCCAAAAGTCCGCGATGCGGAACTGCTAGAGCCAAACGCTCAGGCAGGCAAATACTCCGTGCCCCGTTCAAACCAACCATCCTTATTCCCGCCTGGATACCAGACATGCGACACGTTGCCGTCAAAGCAAAATGGTCCATACGAGCGCGCAAGCAGTGAAATCTCGAAGGCGGCATCCTGAGCTTTTCAAGCCAGGATTGCTCCGAGTTCCCTCTACCGCATCGCCAACGAACCACTCGCCACGAAAGCCAGAATTCCACTAATGCCCAACTCTAGAAGTAGACCAACTCCATACTCGATGCAATGCTGCCTGTCGTCTCATGATTTACCGTGTTCGTGACTTTGTACTCCTATCGCCTCGGAGCGAATGAGGTGATAGCCGGGTGGCCGTCGACCTCGATCGACCGTTCCGTCGAGCGACCTTTCTTCGGATAGTCGAATCATTGCTCACCGAGGAGGTGGGCGGTGATGTCGCCAAGGTACGCCTCCTCCAGCTCATAGTCCATGCCACCATTGCGGTCGATTCCAATAAAGGTGAAGGCCTCAACGACAGCATCGAGCTCGAATCCCATGCCGACAAAGCGGTCAATAAGATCCTTATTGTAGCCGGCATACCTAAAAACCTGTCAGCCTTGTTTCTTTATGCAAATTTCCTGTGCTGTAGACTCGTCCAGCGTGCAGCCGACTCTTGAAAACACACCTGTTTGCGTCATCTTGCTTTACTTCGGAAGCAACTTGCTTGTACTTTGTTGTGTCAAAATCCTTTGACGGTGCACCAGCGTGCTTGACGGCCCACTCGTGTGCCTTTTTCGCAAACCCCTCGGGGTTCTCCAGCATCATCTTGGCCACCTCTGCGTCTTGGGGATCCTTGGGATTCGGGAACTCGAGCAGCATGCGGAGGGAAAGCAGCGCCGTCTTTATCGTCTGCACGGGGGACCAACCACTGCCCAGTGTGTCTAGACAGATGGCACCCTATTCCAGTTAGCATCTCTGGTGCAGTGGTCTTGGAGGGCATATATGTTGTGAAGGATGGCGAAACAACCACAACGAGGCGATGGGAGAAAGACTCACGGTTTGACTGCTGACATTAGGATGCCAGATCTTGGTGATAAACTTGATGGTGGGGGACTTGAAGGGGTAGCTGTCGGGAATCTTAATGTCGACTTCATACAAGCCGCCGGCGTATGGTGTATCGGGAGGTGCGGGAAAGGAGCCCTTCAGATGCAGCAAGTTGGCCTCGTCGAGCGGCTGAGCAAATACTCCAGAGTTGTCCTTGTCATTGCGAATGTCATGCAACTCCTTGGTGATGCGTCGCTCCTTGGGGGTGGACATGTTGCAGATGCGTTGCGGATTCGATGGGGGTTGTCGGTGGGTATTCCTTAGCAGTAGGGTAGGTGGTGCTGAAGATCCGAGACGTGTTATTTATAGAGTATGTAACGTAGTTAAATTTCGAGCTGTGTGATTCGAGTCGGTGATGCGTCGTTACTTGGTGTTTCTCGGGAAGAAAGCGAGGCAAGGTTGTGTTGGCGTTGGTGGTGGTGATGCTGGCAAAAGACCGTTCGGTGTCGGAACCCAACTTTCAGTCGCAGCTTGCCTCGTCTGAGAGGAGAAGGAGAGCCGGTGGACGTGCCCCTCCCCCCTTCAGCGACAGATGATGCTGGAATGGTCCGTGCAAGCCCACTACAGCACCTTAGCGCCCTCGGATTGTCAGGGCCGTCAGCCTCCAGGGAGCTGTGTGGCCCGCTGGAGGAGCTGAGGTGCGGGAGAAGGCGGGGTTGGGAACGGTGTAAGAGCACAAGACGTACCTCGAAGCTTAGGTAAGGCAAGGTAAGTAGCACCGGACCTGTCACTTTTGCCGTCTGGTTACACCAACGATTCTCATTCAATATTTCTCGAGTTCTGAGTACCCAAGGTAGTCAAAGCAGGTGAACAGCTTGCTGCATACAAAGAGAGTCGTATCTATCGCGAAGATCTGTACATATGGACAAGTAGGGACTGATGCTGACCTTGGCAACCCAACCAGACGCCATGGCCCTCGGTGTCACCAGGGCTTCACTTACACAGCTGTGACAGACAGCCATCAGCCAAACTCTGTGTCAGGGAGCTGGGCTTTGGCCCAACTTTGCTAGCGAGTAGGCCCTAAATTTTCTGAAGAGTGGAAACAATTCTAAAAGAATTAATGACAATCCGTCAGTTTCTCCTAACCAGTCTTTGGTCAGCCTTTTTAATCATGCTTTTGTGTAATTGACTATTCGAGCACTCAGGTCAACGTCTAGCAGCAAAAGCAATGCATGAGAGCCAGTCCCAAACTTCCGTCATATGCTTTTTTTTTCAATCCATGACTGGTTGAATTGACTTTTACTGTCATGATTCGAGGCAAAGATGGCGTGGAAACTAGCAGCATATTCGCAAATGCTAGGAAGGCGTCCGTTACTCATCCACCGAACTGAGGATCGTCTACATGGCCCTCATACGTCTTACAAGCTATTCCTGGAATACAGCACATAATACCAGCCGGGGGCGGCTCTCTATAGGTTATCAGTGTTGAAAGATGCTGGCGAGCTCCTCTCGTAGATTCATCAAAGGAGTATTCAGATCGTTATTAAGCTGGGCTTTGTTTAGTGTAAAGATGAACGAGAAAGCAAGGCAAAGACTGCTTAGAATCCGAGGAACAAGCCCGTGGAACAAGCCGCCCGTTATCATCTTCTCTCAGAAGGGATTCGCAAACACCGAATTAGAGGCATGCAATTCTAGGTAAGACGAGGTCTGTAGTCTTGCTCTTTAACCTTTATTTCCTGGCGGCTTCAATTCTAAAAGGTTGGAAGGAGACCATCCAGTCCCATCTGGTTGGGGAGACTGACTCAGCATCGTGTCTTAGGTAATCACTCGATACACGGCACGTGACCGTATAATCGCCCTTTCCTCATCCGGCCCAAGTGAGCCGAGCCAGGGAAGCTGAGCGTCGCGTTTCCTGCCGCCTGCAGTGGCTCCCGATGTTGCTACGCACTGATTACCTACGCAAGCAGCAGCAGCCTTGCCTTCCATTGCTCCCCTGCGCTTCCATCTCCATCTCCGGAACCCACCTACACCCATCATCATCACAAGCTCATTGACGACACCCCAACACCTCCCCGAATCAGAGGATCGCCCGTTTTTCTTCTCATCAACACAGAAAAGCCGTCTGCACACTTCCACTGAGCTCTTGGAGCTCCCCGTGGCACAAGATGGTGAGCATCACTGTCCGAAACGTGGCAGTCACAATCTAACAGCTTCGTAGGGTCAAAACCAGTCAGGAATGGGTGGTGGAGGCGATGGAAAGGACGAGAAGGATAAGAAGGTATTTTTATCGAGTTTGGAAACAATAAAGAAGAAGATGAATACTGACTGACTGGCAATGCAGAAGGAGAAGCCCAAGTACGAGCCTCCCCCACGCCCTACCACCAGAGTCGGTCGCAAGAAGAGAAAGGCGGCCGGTACCAGCGCCGCTGCGAAGCTTCCCGCCGTCTTCCCCACCAGTCGATGCAAACTCCGCCTACTACGAATGCAGCGAATCCACGATCACTTGATCCTGGAAGAGGAATACGTCGAGAACCAAGAGCGCCTTCGCAAGGCCAAGGCCGTCAAGGAGGGTGCTGCCGTTGGCCCCGAGGGTGATGTCGACCGCATGGCAGACGAGCGCGGTCGTGTCGACGATATGCGTGGCAGCCCCATGGGCGTCGGCACGCTGGAGGAGATGATTGACGATGACCACGCGATTGTCAGTAGCACGACTGGTCCCGAGTACTATGTTAGCATCATGAGCTTCGTCGACAAGGACTTGCTGGAACCTGGCGCCAGTGTCCTTCTCCATCACAAGAGCGTCAGCATTGTCGGTGTTCTGACCGACGATGCTGATCCCCTGGTCAGTGTGATGAAGCTGGACAAGGCTCCGACGGAGTCATACGCCGACATTGGTGGTTTGGAGCAGCAGATCCAGGAAGTCAGAGAGTCAGTCGAGCTTCCTCTGCTGCATCCGGAGCTGTACGAGGAGATGGGTATCAAGCCGCCGAAAGGTGTCATTCTCTACGGTGCTCCCGGTACCGGAAAGACGCTGCTCGCCAAGGCTGTCGCCAACCAGACGTCTGCCACTTTCCTGCGTATAGTGGGAAGTGAACTTATTCAGAAGTACCTCGGAGACGGTCCCCGTCTTGTCCGCCAGTTGTTCCAGGTACGTTTGTCTTGATTATTTTTGCCAATGCGATGGTCACTGACAAGTTCAGGTTGCTGGCGAGAATGCTCCCTCGATTGTCTTCATTGATGAAATCGATGCCATCGGCACGAAGCGTTACGACTCGACGTCTGGTGGTGAGCGCGAAGTCCAGAGAACCATGCTGGAACTTCTCAACCAGCTTGACGGTTTCGACGACCGCGGTGACGTAAAGGTCATCATGGCCACCAACAAGATCGAGACTCTCGACCCTGCCCTGATTCGTCCCGGACGTATCGACAGAAAGATTCTCTTTGAGAACCCCGATCAGAACACCAAGCGCAAGATCTTTACGCTTCACACATCCAAGATGTCGCTCAACGACGATGTCGACCTGGAGGAGTTCATCTCGCAAAAGGACGACCTTTCTGGTGCCGACATCAAGGCCATTTGCTCAGAGGCTGGTCTCTTGGCTCTCCGTGAACGCCGTATGCGCGTTCAGATGGCAGACTTCCGGTCGGCCAGAGAGAGAGTACTTCGCACCAAGCAGGAGAGTGAGCCTGAGGGCTTGTACTTGTAGTTTGTATGACGAGGGTACGGGACTAAGGCTAGACGGGACTACGATAGAGATAATGGCAAGGCATGCCTTGACGTTACTTGACGTTGACTTGGCATTGATTAACGACATGACATGGGTTGATAATGTTGCAGCTTGAAATGATGACCATGTGACATGTAGTGAAGCAACAACCGGTAATTAGAAAGTGTTTAATCTCCTTGCCCAACGACGACTTCTCGACTCCCAGGCGAACTACATATTATAACCATCGAACAACAACCCTAATTCGACCTAGACGAAATGCCATCTACCGATATGAAGCGGTTTGGTCGAACAGAGGCCCTTAGTAAGGCGCCAATATCTCTCCGCATACTAACGGAAGGGTGTCAGGGTCTCAATGGTGAAATTGGTCGCCAGCTCACAGAGTGGCAATCTGAATGTCAGCGAAAGCGTGATGTCCAGAGGAACTTTCTTCATGTCACTCTGAACCCAAGGTGTGATTGTGCAGCTTGACAGCCTCGGCCAGGCTCTTTTTTGCATTGAGTGAGGTGAGGTCTAGACTTCACAGCCTCTACTCCGAAGGGACAGCATCCCTGACGTGTCCGGCTGGCGAGTGTCAAGGAAGTTCCTGGCCGATGAGGCGAGGTACCGGAAGCATATTCTAATTCGATTCCCCGCTGATTTTAGGGTTGTTGAGGGGAAGTTTGTAAATGAGAACTTTAAACGGGAATTCGTATTGTCTTGATATCGTGCTATAGGAAATTATTGTGACAGTCTAATGTTGCGCGCCATAATCCGTAATCACAAACGTAAAAGAAATGATGCTCAATCTAAGATAGATCATTCAAGCCAAGGCACATTCGTTAGAGACATCTGTTACAAAGACAAACCGTTATGAGGAAAAAAAAACTGCAAATCACAGCTTAGTATCCCGCCCGCCTAAGCCTCTCCTTTTCATCCAAGACAGGCTCCTCTTCGACATCCTTGGGCGCGTTCGTGATCCCCTCCTCTCCACCACCATAAGTGTTCAAATTCAACTGCGACGCAATGGAAGGCGTATACGCCGGCGCAGGCACATCATCCTCCATCGGCGGCGGCGGCGTAGCATCCCCCGGCGGCCCGATCATCGCCACCTCCCTCGCAGTAGCAGGATCCATCGTATACCGCCCCTCCAGCGCCATTAGTGTCTGCCAAAGCGGCATCGACCCCTCGGGCCACTCGGCCTGCGTCTGCAGAATCTTCTTGGCCGAGATGCGGCGGTCCGCGTAGGCCACGCTGTTGCAGTCTTGTCTCGCGAGGATGATTGTCCCGTCAATCTGCACGCCCGCCCAGAGGCCGCGGGACTTCATGTAGCTGTACATTGGCCTCGCCGTCTTGGAAACCGCGGCTTCCACTGCGCCGCCTGTGCCGACGGGCCCGATTGCCACAGAGGCTTCTGTGCCGAGAGACACACGCGGGTGTGTGAAGGCTGCGACTTGGGCTGCGGTGTTGAGGACGAGGACGCAGTCGTATATATCGAGGCCGAACATGAAGCCCGCGCCGAGGGTGGACACGACAAACGACGAAGGGGGGGACCACGTCTCGTCCGGTCTGCGCGCGACGACGATACCGGAGCCGGCGGCGAGGGAGCCCATGTACGCCCCCGCGCGGAGGGTGTTGAAGATGGCGAGGCCGGCGCAGTGGGCGAGGACCTGGTGGGGGATGGTGACCATGGAGCGGCGGGTGATGCCGAGCGGGTGGAGGGGACCCTGGGCCTTGGGGGGTTCGGGGCCGAGGTCTGTGAAGGCGTGGAGGATGCGTGCTGCTTTTGCGCACTCGCGAGGCATGGTTTGCGGGAACCAGCCTTCTGCGCCGACGAGGTTTGCGGCTTTGTTGAAGGGGATGCCGGCTGTTGTTGTTATCTTGTGGAGGTTTGCGCCGAAGCCTTTGTTGGGGGTTTTTACGGCGGGAGGAGCCCTTTCGGTGGCCGTGGTGCTGTTGGTGCGGGTTCGGTGGAGGGAGGAGAGGGTGCGGGTTAGGGAGAGGCGGCGGGAGGTTGTTGAGCGGGCTGAGGAGGAGGATGAGGGGGTTGAGTGGAGGGAGTGGGTGTCCGCTTCGGCTTCGTGCGCTTGGGAGGGAGCCTGGGAGGGCTTGGACTCTGTGGCGAGTGTCATGATGGTGTTGGTGGGTGGTGGTGTAAGTCGATGTTGAGATATCGTGATATCGGGTGTGCTGGGTATTGCTCTGCAAGCTCTGATCTACTACAAGTGTTTGCTTGTCTGCTGTGTTTGATAGAGAGAATAGGAAACAGTCTCAACTTGACGGTGCTCATGAGCATGATATATACATTCTTCGTCTCGTCAACACACCTCACTTGAGGCGTGGACGAGCAGGAGGCGTCGTCAGGGATCAGCCCTCATCCGGACCAACAACCTCCAGGTCGGAAGCCAGGATGACACTGCACTCTCGCGTAGCTCTGAGCTCTCGCCAAGTCTGCCGGCGGTAATAGTGTGATGGGCGCAAAGGGGAGGGGCCGAGAAAGAGGTCTCGCCTCGCGAGGAAGGGTTCCAAGACGGCGAGAGGTGAGACGGTGACCAGGGGTGGTGGTGAGTAGAGGAGAGAATGAGACCGACGGGCCAATGGGAGTTTGTCCGTTGGAAGAGGAGGTGGTAAGTGCTTGGTGATGGTTCATGCTTCTTGGCGTCTGGGCGTCCGGCTGGGCGAGAGATGTCTACGGGCAAGAAGTGTAGGTAGGTAATGGCCAGGATAGGGATCACTCGGAGGCGGAGGAACTTGGGCACGGAGTGAAGGGAGGACAAGACGGATAGGATGCGAAGTCGTAGAGAACATAGCAAGCCACAGATCGGCATTGTGAAGGGCAGGATAAGGACGCGAGGTCATTAATCATCCCATATCCAAGACTACTTCTCACGCAGTATAGTTACCAAGGAGGAAGAAAGCTTGGGTTCGTGTAATTCGTTTCATGTGACTGGTTCTACCAGTCCAGCCCCTCAAGCCTCTCAGAGATGGACTCTAGATGAGATGGAATGCGGTGCCTTACTACAGCTCACACCATCTCGGCAGAAAGAGAACCAAAACATAGTGGAGGCGCAGCAAGAGTGAGACGGAGAGTTTGGCAGCGTCTAATGGTGTGTTACTGTCAGAACGCGCAAGTGTCCTCGCGGTCTTGGGAAACTGCTTAATAATTAGGTCTCAATGGGAAGCTTGGCTGAGAGAGCCAAGATGGTCTTGTTCTACATTGGTCGAGTTTCTGGCAATGGTAAGACGAGAGGTGCGCGGTTCGGTGGAACTTTCAAGTCCTCGCGGCGATTCGAGGTGGCCGAAGTTAACGGCGGGAGGCCGAAACGCGGCGGAAGAGCGAGGTGGGGCGCGGGGGCTGTGGGGGGGCGCGGGATGGCCCAGAGGCTGCACGCTGACTCCACTAAGATACCTATGTAAAGTCCTAACTGCCCTCGGCTCTCCATCAATCAGTCTCTATGGCTCAGTCGGTAGAGCGTTGGTCTCATATCAAATTCATATGACTCTAGATCATCTAGGGGTTATCCAAAGGTCGCAAGTTCGAGCCTTGCTAGGGACAATTATTTTTGCTTTTGGCCTTCTTTCGCATGGGTTTTAAGTTGCTACTCAATTGAACTCATTTTTAGCACTTTTTGCGTTGTTGCTGCGCCGCGGCATCCCACCCCATTCCTGATCTTTCGGTACTAACACACCAAGAACCAAGTCAGAGCCAGTCGCAAAGGTCCTCAACATGAACATGGGACATGCCGTTGCGTATGGGGCCTATTGATGGCGTAATTTAATACTGCATATAAAGTTGATGGATGTGAATTGATGGGCCGAGCCCGATATCTTAATTGGTGTCATATGTACGTACTGCCAGATGATACTTCCGTTGACACAGTTTTTATAGGTCCACACGGTTGATGTATGTTTCCTCATTTGCCCAGTTCACTCTTGTTGGTGATATGCTGCCCTAGGTTGCCCATGCTTTCCAGGCTCCCTCTATACCTCCCTCTATACAATGCCACCATACTGATGAATTCTTTGGCGCCTCGAGCGTTGCGCGTTGCATCGCTCGATGGCTGTAAATGGCCCATTATATGAATCAACGAATCCTTTACTGCGTGGTGCCGCATGTGCAGCTGGTACTCTAACCAGGTCGACCTCTCAGTCCGAACCAGGCCATGTTATCTCGCGGACACCCAGGCGGCCACATCATTCTTGCCGGAACACAGCTGGGCCACAGCCGAAGCTCGGCGTGTGCCTATGCTGTACAGGCGACCGAAGCGTATTCCTGCCCAACTTGAGCCGGCGTGGAGAAGTTGCATTGCCAGAATCTCACGCTGCGTCGTTGGGTGATGGTTTGCAGATACAGTCTCTGAAAGGGGCCTCCTGCGAGTGGACCGCTTTTCTCTCAGAGAATCGGTTCGTACCATTCCGATAGACTGATCAATCTCCCAGAGAAGTCTAATCTGAATCGAATCCTCGAGCGCGTCATGCTGGTGGCTCGCCCAACCTGAAAAGGTCCAGCTTGAAATTGGCAGCAGTGGGAGGCTGCGTCCTCGGGACGCTCTCAATCGGAACCGGCTTGAACGGCTCAACCTGCCGAATATCAACACCCTCTCGAATACACCTCAGAGGCCACTGGATCCACTCCCTCCATGGTTCCTGGATAGCCTGGTCTAAAGCCGATGCCACATTATTGCCCCAGCCGACGAGGTACCACATATTCCGCTCAAATGCGTGCACCAGTGCCGCGTAGTGCATGAGTATGACGAGGGCCATAGGGTGGTTCTGGATCATCAGCTCGAGGAAGGGCTGGGGGAGGGAGACAGCCCAGCGCCAGACGAGACCGGACCTATGCTGCGGAGCAGAAACTGCGGCAAAGGTGATTTTGAGGCCCTCGAGCGCGGATTGGCAGGTTGTCGTATCATCTGAAGGGGCCATGCTTCGCGTGAGAGTGAGGAGATCGTCGATTTTCGAGGCAAAGTTGCCTCCGACGGCGGGCTCGACGCCGCCTTGGTAGAGCCAGCGGGCCAACGGGCCGTTGGAGATGTATCGGTGGGCAAAGGGGAGGGTGAGAATGCTCTTGATGCCTGCGATGGGTCAGCATGGGCGGAGACGTGAGATGGGCGAAGCACCGACCTTGTAGTAAAATGAAGGACTGGGCGACGTCCTTAGATGTGATGGGCCCGTGGGGGTTCGCGATGGAGTAGGTGTTGAGCAGAAAGATGCATATTGCGTGGAGTACGTAGGCGTCTGCGTTGTTCTCGCCAATCTCGCTCAGTCCTGGCGAGAATTGGCTCAGAGCGATGTTCTGATGGCGTGCTGATAAGTTGGCATACTCGTCCCTTTTCTCGGGATTGATGTGCGCTCTGTGTATAGCTGAGACGGCGAGGATGCCGTGGAGAAGGAAGTCCTGAATGACTTAGTGGGAGTGTAAAGATGGATATAGGGGAATTCTTACGTTGGCGAAGGCAATTTGAGGAACAGTCGTAGTCCATAAATGTACAAAGTCTGGATTCTCAGAAAGAGTATGAGCTGTGTTGGAGGTAAAGTGATGGACGAGTTGCATGTCGGTGAGCCAGTCAGCTCGTGAAATACTCTGAGAGTCTCCCGAGTCTCCATGACTTGAGCCATTGGCCGGGCTGGAGTAGTTATCATGACCGTTTTGGTTGAGGGCATCTACTTCAGCCGTAAACTCTGACAACAGCCCCTGGATGGCGGCGACTTTGTCTTTCAAGGAAGACAATTGAGGCGATGGTCTCTCGCGGCGGCTGGCCGGGCGACTGGTCGTCGAGGCGTCCCCGATACTACCTGGTGTTGCTGTACTCGCGGTATCTTGAGTTGGTTTTGGCGACTCGGTCACGGCAGGAAGCTGAGGTGCGAATGGCGTCAGGACAAGGCTGCACTTGACATCGTGCCGTACACAATTGCGACATGGCCGACTCTCATCACACTGGATGTTTGTTAGTTACCGATTGAAGTCACTATGAACCTCACCAGTCTCCAGTCTCCATAAGAGGATGGCTTGGCGTGGCTTGCTGCAGAGAACAGAGCCCTTACTATAGGGAACTGAACTGACCTTGACACGCCGTTTCTTGCACTGCTGGCACCCATTTCTCGACTTCTTGTGACCTATGCGTGTTCCGCGGATCGCGGTGCCCATCTTTGACCGTTCGGCGCCGTTCTCCAGAGCCGTCACTTCGTCCTTGAGCGAGGTGGTGGACCCTTTCCTTTCCGGCGCGCCGTTCATGGCATTTGACTCGGTCTCCATACGGATGGAGTACGAGTACGGAGTATTCGTACACCTTTCAGAATGACGAGCACCGCCGGGGAGTTACCGTTTAACTGATAAGTAAGAAGAGTTTGATCCTTTCTTCCTCTCTTCCTCCTATGTTCCCGGGGACTGTGATGAGATGTCTCAAAGGCTGTTTTGACGCTTGGACAAAAGAGATGCAGTCCGGAGATGGACTATTGTCTGATCCCCAGCTCGGTGGCGCCGCTTTTCACACTGCCGGGCTGCAGTACGCAACTAAACCAACGCCAACTGCCAGCCCAGTTCCAAGTGTGAGAGAGTCCCGCGGCCCAGGGCCCTACACGGTGCGGCTAATGGACCGGGACCCATGCACTCGCAGATGCGCAACACGGTTGATGGGATCTGGTCTGGAGTGCGTGGATGACGAATATCACAGATGCAATCAAGATAATGCGAATGCGGGGCTTAAAATAGAAAAATGATGGAGTTGACAGCCCAACAGATTTTCTTGACAGTTTAAAACCCTTGCAGATGTCACAGATGAAAAGGTCGCGAGAGTCGAGGCTGTCGAGCAGGGACTTGGAGACCGGCAACCTTCCCGAGTTGCTCCTGGCTCCTGCTCTCCTGGAAATTAGAACTGCTGGCAGGTGGCCCTCTGGCTGGGCAGTTCCCCCGCCGTTCCGTACCGGCCGAAACAGCACGTGACCATGCCTTTCGAAACGGCAAAGAACGGACGGAGAGAAAGGTCCTTCCGTTTCGTGCAGATCTGCGCACAGGTACTTCCGCGATGGGTGGCCCAAGCTCCTTCATCCCCCCCAGGGCCCAGTGAGAACGTACCGAACAGCTTCATTCATCAGGGTAGATGTGGCTGATGCTGCGATGTGTGGCTTGCGCACCATTTTCCTCCTCCTCCCTCTGCGGGGCAGGTACTTCTCCAGAGCCCAGGGACCAGCTGAACGCAGGCACGCAGTGCTAAATTACGACCTGCATGACGCGCCCCGGCGGAACGCGACTTGCCGTCCTTTCCTGAGGGTGGTGAGGTCAGCCAGGTCCTGTTTGTACCTTCACCTTTCCTCCCGCTCGCTTCTCTGTCAAATGCCACAGAGAGACGACGTCAGAAGTGTCAATGTCAGCATCAGCTGCAAATTCAATTGTCCATCGCTGGCTGTAGCCTCTTAGCTTCTTGCATCCATCCAGACTCAAGTGCCTCCGTCACTCGTCCGTCACACTCACGGGCCTACCGCTTGCCGTTCCCGAGCTACCTCACTTGTACCAAGTATTCCGTCGCATAATCGTTGAGCTGCGCCAGTGTCTCTCCCGTGTCTCCCTGCGAGCGCCCACCCCAATCATTCGACCGACCCCTCTCGAATTGCAGCCTCCCGTCCATCCCTGGGAAGCTAAGAAGAGGCATCAAACTGCAGATTGAAGAAAAAGGAGGCTGCCCCGACGAACCTCCTCCGAAGTCACGATCGGCTATCCCTCTATCTTCAACACCCCTGACGCCCATATACGATCAACGAACGTCATCCGTCCTCTACCACAAATCCCTAGAGCAATTGCCCACCATGGCATCGCACAGCGACTACAACGACATCAAGGCCTCGGCCAAGGAGAACGCCGCCGGCGTCTATGCCTACGGCCAGCGACAGATCAATCGGGTCGTCAGCTCCGACACCAGACAAAGAGCGTACGGCAATGCCTACAACTTTGCCCAGGAGCAGCCATTCCTCTTTGTATGCGACCCCCAATGATACTCGCCTCCCTAATGTCGGACATCTTTTTTGCTAACGAATTCATTACAGGCTTTTATTCTTTGCCAATTCATCTTCTCCTTCCTCCCAATCCTCGTCTTCGTGTCCTTCTCCGCCTCAACCATCGCCTTTGCTCTCGGTGCCGCTGTCGTTTTCTCCCTCTTCTGGATCGGCATTGCACTCCTCGTCCTCGTCCCGATCCTCTTCTTTACCTGCTCGATTGGTGTTCTCGTGTGGATCTGGGCTGCCGGTAGCTTCGTTGTCGCGAAGCGTTTATATGAAATGTCGCCGATCCGGGCCAGGGGTGATCTCGAGGTAGATGCCCCCAATGGGAAGACGTACGCAGTCACCAAACGGGAGGATGGCATTCACACACATGCCCACAACTAAATTGGGTCAGTTGTGTGCAAACCATATATGTACTATGTATCATCAAACAGTGATGATTAACGGCCGCTTTGGCGTTGGGAAAGGTACGGATATCAGGAATGGGTCTGGGAAAATGGGGTCTTGCAAAACGGATGAGCACACTTCCCATAGGATTGCTATTCAACGTTAACACTTCTTTCGCTCATCGAATCGATACATCGTGACCACAAATTACTCGCCGGTGCCTGTTTCAAGCGGTAATGGCAACTCATCACTGTATTCACTATGGTTGGGTATGTGCTGTGACCCCACAGCTAGAAAGTATGTCGCAATATTTCCCCGACCACTCAGTCTGTGCATAACCTTGAAGACAAAGTGAAGATAGATTCGCCAACGACGACATTCGAACACATTCTGCTTCAAAAACAGCAACCTGCACTTGATGCCCATAATACCGTAGATCAAAAATGCAAAACGTAACGATGGTGCCAACACTGTGGATCGAACACAGGATCCCCGCATTACAAGTGCGATGCCTTACCACTTGGCCATGCTGGCGAATTGGATGGTGTCTGAGGTCAGAATTATCAATATGTATCTAGTTACCTTTTTTCCTGTTCAGTAACAGTAACGGTACAGTTTGAATATGCGTTCAACCTTAAGCATCTACCTTCATCCATGTATGTGTATCTACCATTCATGTCTCAGAAGCAGAATGTGAAAAGAAACGCACCTCGCGATGGTCACCCGCTCAGGTTGCCATCACGACTTTCAAGCTGATGCTAGAAGAGCGGGTAGAACCTGCATGCCCGGTTGTTAGTGGCTGAATTGATTGACGCAGGAGAAGGCCTCGCCAACGCATGCTGCCATAAATGTCTAAGTTCTACTGGCTTTGTACCCGCCGAGGCAGGCCTGATCCATTTTTCCATGAAGTACCTTAGATGAGGAGCAGGACGGGTTGAGCAGCCGCCTCAATCTTGCACCGCAATGTTCGTCCTCCATATGTTTTGTAGAACCTAGGCCCTCAAAGCAGAAAGTCCACAAACCGTGATTCAAATCACTCAAAACCATCATTCCCAAGTCAGAGTACGGCAGTCCTCGTCACTTCATCATCATCAATTCACCTCATCCGCGGGGAAGTCGGTGCCACTGCTATTAACATGAGCCGCTGGGATGCGGACTGGTGCGCGTCACCTATCATTCAAGTCGGAGACGATTGAATCCCTCGATGCGAGAAATGTCAAGCCATAGCTCACGCTCGACTCAAGACGGCAGATCGGCCTGGCCCTGTACTTTCTGTACCAAAAAGCGAATAATATGGGAGTCTCAACCTTAGTTGGCCACCTATAGTCATGTTCACCTCTGGGGAAAACGCAACCCATTCGCCAGGTGATAAGAGCAAGGATGATCAAGGAGCTCGGTCGGCTACAATTTCAACTTCTGATTCGGCTCATGCGAATCGGGACATCATTACTACGCTTTTATCGGATGGTTTCCGTCTTGCTGTTCTCCACGCTGCCGGGGACAAAGGTCCATTGTATCCCATACATGTGGGCTTGGAGTCATACAAGGACACGCACTTCCCTGACTATGATGCCATCTCGTACACATGGGGCGATGAGAATGGCAACTCCGAATGGTAGATAAGCACCTGTTATGGCTCGATGGAGCTCAATATTCACTAACTTGTGAACATAGTTGTCATCCAATTTACGTGGGCGGCCACTGGGACATCATATTTCAAACCAGAAACTGTTGCGATATGCTCATATATTTACGACCATCTCGTGGTTTGAAGCTGATTTGGGTCGACGCGATCTGCATCGACCAGAATAGTACAGACGAGAGAGCTACGCAAGTGGCCGAAATGGGCCAGATCTACGCGGCGTAAGGCCATACTACTCAGCTAAATCCATCTTGGTTTCCTGCTTGAGACACGCAAAAGTCTTGGGAAAAGTTATTTATTGAGCCACCCGAACTGGAGAAAACTTACACATTGAAGTCGGGCAAACACGACCACGAAACGATCAAGCAATTTGATTATGTCAAAGCTGGAGAGTATGACTCTTTTCGGAACAGAGGAATGAATTTTACCCAGTGTATCGAATCCGCAAATACTCCGAAAAAACGGTTGAATCGACTGAAGAATGCTATGTCATCTACTGGGACTAAACTTTGCCACATACATCCTGGGCACCGAGACATCACCGTCGATACCAATACGGGATCCATCTCACTTTGGCTGATAGGGCCAGCATCCGTCGGCTCGACTATCGTGGAAGCCCGGGAAGAATTCCTTGACGGCCTGACCTTGTATGGAATCCACTCTGTACCAGGACACTCGTTCTTGGTTGGAAACCAGCACCCGCTCGATAGGTTGCTAAAGCATGATGACGAGCTTTTCGCCCAGGATCCTGATTTATGTTCTGGCAGTTCCAAGTTTGACCGGCTCGTCTTCTTGATTCTAAGAAAAGAGGGAATGGAAGGCCCCGACTGGTGACTTGTTTGTCGGACTTATCTTTCTGTTCTGAGAACTTTCCCTATTACATGGACAGTTACTTGACAAACACCCAATGTCTCACGGACCTCTCGGAAAGAGCATATGTAGTCCGAAGGAAATTATTGGTTCAAGCCAATTTGAACAAATCTGAATACTGCGTTGATGAAGCAGTAAGGACACCGCTTGAAAATAGATACCATATCGCTCGTAGCATTTCTCAGCTGTAATATGTGGTTTTCCCCGGGAACAAGGACACGAAAGTAGGCCACGTCTTATCAATCTTCATGGGACATGAAAGTTTCGAACGGTTGCCACAGAACGAGGTTTGCGCGAGACGTGAACAAAAGGTTACAGGAGACTACCTTGAATTCGAGTCTGAGATCGATCTTGCAACTCGGCAAGTTGTTACGGAAGAACTACGAGTAGATCTTACACGTCTTGACTTCCTTTCATGGATGGAATAGGAATGGCGCAGGATCGGGGAGGAAAATGGGCCGCTATGGCATCACTTTTCACATTTGCGAAGCATGGTGACTGATGGGGATCTGACACTTCCGGGTGGGAGATGCGTATTTATCTGAGGTTCCCAGTGGAAGCGGTTAGGAAAGCCCTTCATATTATAGCACAGAAATTGGGCATTACGGCGCTCTGGGAATCTCAAATGCTGGGAGACACAGTTGAGGCCTTCGAGGTGACAGAAGAGGACTTCTTGATTCCTAGTCCAGGCCCCGAATGAAGAAGGGAGAGTTTAAGGCCTGAAGAGTTTGACGGGTTAGACGGCGGCATCTACCGAGTCTGCATTGCTTAGGTATTCTCAATGATATGTTGAAAATTGGCTCACGATTCCTGATGAACACTACAAATTGTAGGTACTGTGCATACACATAAACACAATTGCATGTATAATTAGTAGTCTAATGTCTTTGAAGGGGAATCGTGGCCCTAAATGATAATAGCATTCAGTGACTGGATCCAATTGGAACTATAATCGGCAACGTGATTATGACCTTGCCATGACGAGACCGCAACTCTCTACTCCTCCTCGGCGGGAACCTCATCCTCGTACTCCTCGGCATACTCGTCATCCATGCCCGCGTCCTGGTACTGCTGGTACTCGGACACCAAGTCGTTCATGTTGGACTCGGCCTCTGTGAACTCCATCTCGTCCATGCCCTCGCCAGTGTACCAGTGCAAGAAGGCCTTCCTGCGGAACATGACGCTGAACTGCTCGCCAACTCTGCGGAAACTGTTCTGAATCGCAGTGGAGTTGCCGATGAACGTGGACGAGACGTCGAGACCCTTGGGCGGGACGGAACAGTGGGCAGTTTGAATGTTGTTGGGAATCCACTCAACAAAGTTGGTGGAGTTCTTGGTCTTGATGGCGTGAATTTGGTCTTCGACCTGCTTCATGGACACCTTTCCGCGGCTGTTGAGGGGGTTAGACGTAGCTCGAGAAACGGGGGCACGAGAGCGCAACTTACAACATGGTGGAGCAAGTCAAGAAGCGTCCGTCTCTGAAGTCGGACGCCAACATGACGTTCTTGGGGTCGAACATTTGCTGGGTGAGCTCGGCGACGCCAAGGTTCGAGAAGGACGCGGAAGAGGTGAGGGGCGCGAATCCGACGGTGAAGAAGTGCAATCTCGGGAAGGGCACGAGGTTGACGGCCAACTTGCGGAGATCGGCGTTGAGCTGGCCGGGGAAGCGGAAACCAGTCGTCAGGCCGGACATGACTCTCGACACAAGGTGGTTCAAGTGTCCATACGAGGGGTGAGCCTGCTTAAGTGTGCGTCTGCAAATATCGTACAGCGCCTCGTTGTCGATACAGAACGTCTCGTCCGAGTTTTCAACGAGCTGGTGAATCGACAGGGTAGCATTATACGGCTCGACGACGACCTCGGAGACCTTGGCGGACGGGAGGACGGAGAAGGTGGCCATCATACGATCGGGGAATTCTTCGCGGACCTTTGCAATGAGCAGAGTGCCCATACCGGACCCCGTGCCGCCACCGAGCGAGTGGGTGATTTGGAAACCCTGAAGGCTGTCGCAGGCCTCGGCCTCGCGGCGCACGACGTCCAGGACGGAGTCGACGAGCTCGGCGCCCTCGGTGTAGTGGCCCTTTGCCCAGTTGTTACCGGCGCCAGATTGGCCGTTGACCATGTTGTCCGGGCGGAAGAGGTTGCCCAGCGGGCCGGAGCGGATTGCCTCCATCGTGGCGGGCTCGAGATCGACCAGGACAGCGCGGGGGACATACTTTTGTCTACCGGCCTACGTTGCATGAGTTTGCGGTTAGAATTTTGAGAGACATCATGAGAGGGGGTGAGGCGCATATGAGATCACGAGGCGCGTGTGAGATGAAGGTAGTACCTCGGTGAAGTAGACGTTCAATCGCTCGGATTGTTGCTCATCAGTTCCAGTGAACCTATAAAAGTCAGCACACTATGCTCATAGATTTGCGTCATGGTGACTGAGCAGCTGAAAAACTCACTGTCCATCCTGATCCAAGCCATGCTCAGGGTGAATGGTTTGCCTGTTGTCGCGAACATTAACCACACGTTCAAATAAGTCCTCTTCACATTGATCTCAATGTCGAGATTGGCACATTCATACCAGAAAGCCGTTCCGACTTGGTTGCCCTACAAAGACTTATCATCAGTAAAGGCGCGTTGTGACGCGTTGCGCGCTGGACAGGGGCATGGGGAGACGTACACATTGGCCGGTTTGGAGGTGAATCTAGAGTGGATCACAGAAGCGTTAGTTTGTCAAGAGGGACTTTACAAAGTAAGGTACTCGAACATTCGCGCGCAACTCACAATTTCACGCATGATGCTGGTTCGAGGATAAGACGGGGTTGTGGTATATTACGATGGTTGAAGGACGCAAGACGCAGGACGCAGATTTTTACCCCGCTATCGAATTGTTGAAATCACGACAGGTGGTCATCTTATAGCGGGATTCCTTATTTCACAACAAACCCCTATCCTGTCCGTATCGCACGCTCGTCTCGCTTGCGCTGTGCGCTTGTTCACCCCGGATAGGCCCGGCCGTGGACACTCGGTCTGGACTCGAAAAACTTCCCCCACATGTTGGTACATGCATCTTGTTAAACTGCTGCCTTTTTGGAGTTTGATAGCTGCCTGGTTTATGATGTGTTTCTCTGGCACGGCAGAGACATGGACTTCCCGGGCTGTCACACTTTGATGTGGGAAGACAGAACAGACGGTGAGCGGTCAGAGCTTTTTGGGGCACTTTTTGGGGGGAATCTGTGTGGGAAAAAGAGAGAAAAATTAAGAAATAAAACTAAAATAAAGACAAAAAAGAACTTTGGCTGCCCAACCAACGATTCGAGCGGAGGTATCACCCGGGAAGAGACGCAAGCTAGACCATGTTGGGCCCATGACCCGTAGAAACGATTGGTAAATGTTGCTCTGTGCCACTCAGAAGTCTTGTGGATGTGTTCAAAATCCCCAAAGAGTCTCCATGTCTCCATGTTCGGCGATAGGCGCATCATCAAGACCCAAAAGGTGTGGTGTCACCAAACTCGTACTTCTTGTTGAAGAGCGTTGCCTAACGCCGTGACGCCATTCCAACCGCCCGACCAATGACTCTTTGGGATATACAGCTGCCTGTACTCACTCGAAACAAGCCGGTTGTTGTCCGTCGCCATGTTGATTCACGGTTGCTAGGTGTCTGCCTGCGTGTGTCACACCACCACACCCCATCGACCGACCGGTGCCGCCGCCGCCGCTTGGCCGGACGAGCCGGATCAGAGAGTCCGAATGCCCCCTCCCCTTCCCCCGTCCAGTCCGTGCTCACTGCTCCTCGCTCTCGGCGGACGAAGAGAGTTCGGCGCGCGCTTGAAATTCCCCCATGGCTCCGCCAACATTCCAGCGCGCACCCACGTGGGACGATCCAAACATGGAAGAAGTTAGGAAAGGTACAGCTGAGGAAAATCCGGGAAAATGGAAAGCTCAGCTCCCCCGCTCCCTCGAGTCCCTGGTGGCCTAGATTTTACATTTGCAGCGTTGAGTTTCGCGTCTCACGACGGCTTGGCTGTCTGCAGCACCCACGGTCTGCAAAGACGGACTATACCGACGTCGTTGCTGACGGATGTGGCCTCTCCCACATCCCGGAGCCACGGAAGTCTTTCAAAGGCCAAATGCTGCATAGGACCTAAGCTTGCTGCAGACAGCCGAGTCGTCGTAACAGCGCGGAGCCGCGAACCAAACGCAGGAGGCAGACCTGCCCGGCCGTGGTGGAACGCGTATGTATGCGTCTTGAAAAGGCTGCTGATTCTGGACGGGGACAGCCATCCAAGCCCATCGCAGCGAAAGCCGAGAAGAGTTGTTAATGAAAGATAAGGTTATTCATTCTTAAAAGTTTATCGCCAAGCGAGCATTGCTGCCATTGCACGACAGGTAAAGAAGAGTTTACATGTCCGCGCCCCTGACATGCCAATGATATCAGAGACATGCTGTGCAAGTGCTGATCATTCACATTCGACGAGGGCCTGCTTTGCCAGCTTCAGCACATCAACCAAGCAACCTTTGACACGGAAGGTGGTGATCCAGCCACTGACGAGGGGCTCAAGATGATCTGGAATGCAGATGTTTTGGGCGATCAGGGGCAGACGGGCAAAACGGAGGGTGTTGGCGGCTGGGCAGCGGGAGTGGCAGCGTGTTTTCCTCTTTCTTCCTCTTTCTCTCAGCCTTCTCTCAACTCGACCGTCGTCCCGTGGAGCCTCAAGAAAAAGTTTGCATGAAAGCGTCGTCGTCGTTGTCTCCTTCAGCCTCTTGCAGTAAACCCCTCATACGTCTTGGGTAGATCTAGACACCGATATGGTCTGGACCCTTTACTCGAATCCGATCAGAGTACCCAACCGTTTACCAAAAGCGATCGGTGACAGCGGCATCTAGTCTGGCTAGCCAGCGGGAGACGATAGAATCTGGTTTAGGGGGACTCGTAAGTTCTCTTTCAGACTGAGACATGGTGTCTTGAAGTTAAATGAACCGGAGGATGTGGCTTGCGCTTCAAAGAAATTGAGGAGTTTTCACCCCAAAGCCCCGTGTTGCTGAATGCGGTAAACCTACCGGGACTCGACTGTAACAGTGCAATCCCCATGGTACCGACTTCTGAGGGAGACTCCTGAAGAATGAGAATGGAATGAGATATATCTACATCCTCAAAACCCTGGTCTATACGGGTTTCCTTCTTACTCTCCCATCTTCAAGTTACCACTTGGAACACTCTCCTTGATTGCATCCTTTTCTGCTCTTCTTCAGCTTCTCAACACTCCTATTTTCCCGGGCATCATCAACTTCAGTCTTCAGCTCAGTGGCAGGAACCATCCTTCCATTCAGTCAGTCACTCCTTACGACGACTTTACTTCGACCAGAAAGATCCCGGTGATTTCGACATATCCGAAGCCCCCAATTCCCACATCTCAAGCCACCACCATGCACTTCTCAGCCAGCGCAACCTTCGCCTTGGGGCTGATGGCCACGCAAGCCGCGGCGAGGGGCATCGTCAAGGTGCCAAAGTTCTACGCAGCAGCCGGAACCCCGACCTACACGACCACTCTCGTCGCCCCCTTGACGCCTGTTCCCACGATCTACGCGCAGCCATCGGTGACCTCGTCATCGACCTCGTCCTCGGCGACTGCCACCCCAACTGCCTCCTCCAACTCGACTCTGAGCGCCGACCTGCAGAGAGCCCTCGAACTCCACAACATCTACCGCGCCGCCGTTGGCAACGCCAACTTGACCTGGGATGACGACTTGGCCGCGAGCGCTCAGGTCTGGGCCAATCACTTGACGACTGTCGGCAGCCTGGTTCACGACTCGAACCCCGGCGGCCAGGGAGAGAACTTGGCTTCGCAGTCGGGCGGCACCACCACCTATTTCACCAACGGTGTTCAGCTGTGGTTGGATGAGAAGCCGCTGTATGATGGACAGCCCATCCGCACCACTGGGTCGCCCAACTACTTGAACTATGGTCACTACAGTGAGTACTTTGGGCCTTGATTGAGAGGAACGTTGCAACTGACAAGTTGATAGCTCAAGCCATTTGGAAGAACACCCAGAAGGTCGGCTTGGCCATGGCCACCGACTCCAAGGGTACCACATTCGTGGTCGGACGTTACTTGCCTCCTGGTAACTAGTAAGTATCTCATCTCGCACTCATCAACTTCACAAGTCTAACTGTTCTCTTCCAGCATCGGCCAACTGCCCTACTAAGCATGGAAGGATGGATTGCCAGTGTTGTTTGAGATGTTCTAATCAACGCTGTTGGCTGGGCTTGACTTTTCTTTCGATTCTAGACCGCTTCTCCTTCACTAAGTTGCTTATGCTCATGGCAATATTTTCATGCCTTGGACCACTTCACTGCACATAGATTGTACAGTTTCCGTTCAGAATCTTCAACAATTCGAGAGAAATGAAAAAGAGCTTAGACACAATGCCGAGCAATCAATAAATCAACCTCTCCCACACTTGCAAAGAAAACAAAATGCCAGATCCGGAAAAGGGTGCAAGGTAAGGTTCTGACTTGACAACGCCGTCTCATCTTCGCCGAGTGTCCCCGCCCCACCAAACCAAGACCGCCGTCCGAAACTCGGCGGAGGAACTGGACGTGCACTCAGCTCATACTCCCACCTCCAACACCACTGACTCCCAATCTCGTCCGTCCGAAGAGTACACAAGTCGTACACAGCATCAATGTCTCCGCGCCTCGTACTCACATAATGGCAGGCACTGAGCGAGGTACCATCACAGTTCGCACCGCTGCCTCGGAACGGCGAACTGCAGCTGCTAAGCGCCGCTTCGTCCGCAGGGGCACCAAGAGCTGCTGGGAGTGTCGCAGACGCAAGATCCGCTGCATCTTTGACGATAAGGGACCTCGAGACACGTGTAAAACGTGCTGGCAGAAGGGGACGCCGTGTGTGAGTCAGGAGTTCCCCGAAGAGGATGCCCAGACGGCTCCGGCCCCGGTGGGCAGTCTCGGGGACCGGCTGAACCGGGTTGAGCGGCTGGTCGAGCAACTGTACCACCGGGTGGACGATCTTGATGTCCCTTTTTCCACTTCGCCGCAGGAGAAGGTAGCAGAAGACTGTAGCCCCGGGGCAGAAGAATCAGCCACTATAGGCCCAACTAGAGAAGCGTGTTCTAAGGCTGTCCGCAGCCCTTCATCAACTCAGAACGCAGACTCATCAACGGTAGGATCGGGTCGAACATTCAAAAGGATTCTCACTGACGAACGTCTTTCCATTGATCAAGATTCAATCACAACGTGAAAGCAATAATGCACAATCTAACGAGGACTCATCACGTCCGAATGCCCCCTCTCATTATGAGACCACGGCAACTATCCGTCCAGCAGTAAACGCAAAACTAGCTGCCTACACAAAACAGCTTGCCGCCGCGATACCCGCCATAGAAGATTGCAGGGTTATCTACAAGCTCTACTCCGAGGCTGACATTGTCTTTCAGCTCATGTTCACGCCCCACTGCCTATTGGAGCAGCTGAAGCCAGAGTCTGTCGAGCACTACTTGGAATCCCTCAGAACACCAATGCATCCCACTCTACTGGCCAAAAAGATGCTCATGTTGGGTACGATGCTTCAGCGCGTTCCGACCCACGCCGGAGAGGATGCGTCCGAAGAAACCTATCGTCTCGTGGACAAGCTCGCGGAGACGGCCATCTCTGTGGTGTGCGAGAACAACGTGCTCCTGGGCACGCTCGACGGCCTCGAATGTCTCATTCTACAAACTGTCTATCATGCCAATGGCGGCAATCCAAGATTATCACTGCTGACCTGCCGCCGTGCGATTACTGTGGCCCAGTTGATGGGCCTGCACCGCCCACACGATCCAGCTACCATTGAGACAGTGGACCCGAATTCGACAGCCGTTCCTGGCTTCGTGTGGTTTCGTCTGGTATACTTAGAACGCTTCATTTGCCTCCTTCTAGGGCTTCCCAGCAGCACCCATGATGCAAAGGTCATCAACGACGAAAAGACGCAGACGTACATCAACAGCCATCACATTGACAGGCTCGAACAAGTTCACTCCTCTGTCGCCGCCAAGATCATACAACGAAACGAGTCGGGGTCATATCTATTCGACATGGAAACCACTCACGCCCTAGACCAGGAACTCCAAGTTATAGCAACAACGATGCCCCCACGATGGTGGACTATTCCCAACTTCACCAAGCCGCACAAAGACCCCATGACAATCGTCCGCAACAGCCTCAACCTAGCCAACCAGCTGTTCCACTTCTTCCTCATCATCGAACTCCACCTACCATTCATGCTCCGCCACTCCAAGAACGGGGCGGCCAGCAGCAGCAGAATGGCTTGTGTCGACGCGAGTAGGGAAGTCCTCTCCAGGTTCATCGCGATCCGTAACCCGGAGGGAATATGCAGTATCCCCGACGCCGCTGACTTCTTCGCGCTCATTGCGGCCATGACGCTTATGCTCGCGCACATCGACGCCCGCAGACGCGACAGGGGGAGAGACATCCTCGCGCACCAGAGGCATACGGACCGCGACAAGGTCGAGCAGACGTTGGAGCACATGCGTGACGGGAGCTCCAAGAATACGGATATGCTTTCCATGAAGAGCGCCGATGTCTTGAAAAGCTTACTTGCAATCGAGGCTGATGCTGCCGGGGGTTCGACGTTCACTGCGAGTCTCAGTTCTGCGTCGACGCCGGCTTCGGCTTCATGTCCTGCCGGTGAAGGTCGGAGCACAGGTGATGCCAGGAATGTGCTGCAGCTTAAGATTCCTTGTTATGGGACGGTCATCATCTCGCCTGATGCTCCTCCTTCTCGCGAACCTTGGATGCCTGTCAGTCGTAACCACCAGGGTATGGTTCCGGACAGTCGTGCTCCGGGAAATCTCAGTGCTGCGAGCCCCTTTGTTGCAGGCCCTATGGCAGGAGTATGTCCAGGCGGGGGGGCTAGTGTGATACCAGGCTCGAGTGGTCAGGGTGAGAATCTGCAGCTCGATCCTAATGTCGATCCTAGATGGCTCTTTGAACTCGGAAATCCCAACCTCCTGGGCAATGGAATCGCCGCTGGGTTAGAGGATTGGCCGTTTCAGGGGGTTGATGCTGCCTTTTTTGACAGTATGATCAGAGGGTTCGAAGGTGGTGACGACTATGGCGGTGCAAATGTGCCATGAATGCATTTGAATCCTCGTTTTGGAAAACAAAAAGGACACAAAGGGAATGAATCCGCCAGGAAATGCAAGAGTCGAACTCGTTGGCCAGGGACCCTATTTATAATGATTCGTTTATGGACAGGATTCCAACACCATCATACATCAAGTAACTAGAGCATAAGGGGTATCGAAACACTCATCCCAGTCTTTCTTCCCAGACGACCAAAACTTCTCTAGAATATCCTTCGTTGCTAGAGGCAAATACGCACCAAGGTGTACACTCTCTTCGGCTAAACGCTTAGCAACGAACGACCTTACCGCCGCGGTCCCCGTCTTAGCCTCGAACCCAGCAACAATCATCGGCCACATGACGCAGCTCCTCAGAACCTGAGACTCGGCAGCCTTCTCGAGGAGGGCCATGAGCTTGCTGCCGTGTATTGTCTTCACGGCCCGCCAGCCCGCGGATGCGGGTATCACACAGACGCTCTGCAGGGAGGCGATGGCGAAGACCACGACGGCGGACTGATACACTTGCGCCATTGTCAAGAATTGCTCTTGCGATTCGGTCTTGGCGGCGGACCAAGTTTCGGGGGAGAAGTCTATGATGCGCTCGAGGAGGTCTTCAGCTTCTGTCTGGAGAGAGTCCAGTGTGTCTGACGACTCTGGTTGCGTTGCGAGGTATCGGAGGCGGTTGACGCAGATGATATCGATGAACAGTTGAACAGGGCAGGGGAGGAAGGGGTAGTATCCTGTTTCGTAGATTTCTTGGGTGAGACCTCTCATTTCGAAATTGACTAGCGGTGAAACTTGGTCGTATGCAGGGCTTGTTGAGTTTGCCAAGTTCTCGATGCTGTGGGTGTAAGTTTTATCAGTGCTCTGCACCTATAGTAGTAGCGGTTTATGTTGTGAGAGGTACTCACATCTTGCAGAATAGGATTACAGTCTTGTAGCCTGGCGCGGCGTCGCAAACACTTCTCAGACCACCTCGCATCTCGATGATAGCCATGAAGCCGTTGAGATGATGCCGCCAGTTGGAGGCTGTCACTGATCCCATAAGCTACACACAAACGAATTAGGGCCAAAGTTTCTCGGCTGGCGAGGGGGTATGGAAGGAAAGGGTGTGAGATGGAAGGGGCCAAGACACGCACATCTGCGTATAAGAACACAATCACCGCCGCCATCGTGTAGTCAGAGATTCTCCTCTTCTCATTTTGGTGGCTGATCTCTCCGTTCAAGGCCTGAATTGCCGTACATCGATGCTGATGGAATCGGGCCCGAACTTCTGCGTGATGCAAGTCGTTCTTCCTCGAAGACAAGCTCAGCAAGCGGTGGTTAATGGCCATGGCAACGAGAGTGTGTTGGATGGTAACTCCCATGTACTGAATGTATGACACGGGTACAAGCCAGGGGCTGTTGGTCAACTGATTCGCTGCAAAGAATGGGTAGACCTGTTCGTTCCCTGTTGCAGATCGAGACTACATCAGTTTCTTGGTTGCTTGAACAAGACAAAGCTCCGATATAGTAACGGAATATGGTGACTTACAGTAAAGTGTAGCCTCAATAACATCACAAGTTTCATCTCTCAATTCGTAACCTGGAAAAAGGTGCATAAGGTGGTCGGTACGAGTACCTGATACCTCGGATCTTACTGCCTTTGCAAGTTCTGACCCGCTCTGCTCTTTGTTGTCACCTTTCGATGAAATGTCGTCTTTAGTCTTGTTGGCAGGCGGGCTTTTCCGTTTCCACGTCCGGGTCTTGACCTTGCCAGGGGCAAGCCATACCAACGGCTTCTTGTCCTCGTAACCGGGACACACGACGCCGCTAGTCTTGCACTTTGCGCAGACGGGACGTGCCGAGTCGCAGACTAGTCGGCGCCGTTGACATTCCCAGCATTGCCTTCTCCGATTACTGGGTCCTGTCTGTGAATGTGCTTGTGCCTCTGTTTGCGGCGGTCCACCTACTGCGAGCGCCAATTGTCTAGAAGTGGAAGTCATCGTCTGATTAAGGGAAACACCCTATCTCAACGGCTCATCAAACGGCTTTACGTTTTGGGCTATTGGAAGTAGACGGAGTGACGGGATGGCACATCCATCCTGCCACCCGCTGGCTCGGGTCGAGTTTAATACATGTGGTGCGGAGTTGAGCTGCAGTCACCTAGGAGGTCAACTAGGTACGGCTAACTGGCGACGGCGAGCAGTGCCTGACCAGGGGCGCAGTGCATGTCTTGGCCACTTCAATAGCCTAATGAGGTAAAGCGTGGGGCATTCCTTCGAGATCATCGCTTCTCTAGCGCGTCAGCAAGACGGCCCTACGAGAGACGAGAGGGCGATGATAAGCGAGTGGTGCGCCAATGGATGAGTCTGATGATATCATTGAATGATCTTCATGGTTTCTGGCCTTAAAGCTATGAGCTATGAGGCCTGCTGAACGAGAGCACGGCGCTAGAATTTTGGATAACTTCTACCAAGCCAATCAGGCCACGAGAGCCATAGGCATTCATCGTAAGTAGCCGAATGAAACTCAGGAACACGTAGCAGGTGAGGTGAAGCTGTGAAATACGTTCAAATCATTCAACACATAGAGATGATAGCAACAAGATTTCATCAGCGTTCAAGCTTCATTATCACGAACTTTTGTTCTGAGCTGTTCTTATACAACTTCACGATATGGTTCTCGAATCTGGGTTCTTCTACTACTATTTCACATCAATTACATTGATAGGGTCGCAACTCGCTAGCGTAAACACCGGAAGCCGGAAATACCTACTTCCGAGTCACTTGCGTCGATGGTTTAGTGGTAAAATTCTCCGTTGCCATACAGCAGCGTCGGGGAGCCGGGGGTTCGATTCCCCCTCGACGCACTTTTTTGCTTTTGGCAATTATCGCTATCGACTGAGACCCTGGCAATTTTTTGCACCTGACAATCTCTCCTCAATGAGATTTAGGTAGAGTTGCGTAAATCGAGGGGTAGAGGTCGTTAGTGAGTTGATTGTCAATTAGCTGGACGATTGAAACATCTACTTTGCACACCAGACTGAGGTGGGCATCCCATGGGCAGACAAGCCTAGGCGAATGAACATACTTGTCCACCAACCACAGGCTCAATAAAGTGTGTAGTGTTTATTGGATTTCATGTCGACCTCCGGACTTCAGACGTTGAAGAGGATACCGGGGAGGCACTTTTCTCGGTATCGGTCCTGTGAAGTGCCTAGCGAATGATTCTCGACAGCTTCTATCATGCTATCGTTCGAGAGACCGATGTCAAATGTTGTGAACCACCCCAATTTCAAACGTTACTTTGGGGCCAGCTTGCTTTGCATCTAGAAGTTGACCTTACACGTCGCAAATAGCTGCTCAGCGTCAGGGTCCAACTCCTGATCGAGCAGAGATTTACAACTGCAACCCTGTAAACTTGGGGGGTTGCACCGGTAGCCGGACACGTCGGAGACTCGCGATATGAACGCGTTGTGAACCCACCCTAGCTTCATGTCGGTAGACGCTCTCATTTCTCACATTTGTGACTGGAGTAAGAAAACCATCCGAGACTCTTCCGTACTCCGTGCATCGCTACGCACAAACAACGCTGAAGGTTCCGCGTGCCTTGACTATCCGTCGATTAGACTTTGGGTTCATGTTCAAGGCCACATCAGTGCAACCACAATGTAAGGATGCGGGACGAAAGGTAATCACTTACACATCGTTGGCAAATGGCCACTCCCGCCGAGGGTGTGCAAAGGCCTTGAGGCTGGAGCATAGTCAAAGTTGAGATGAACTCTGAGTCTCAAGACCTCTGAACCTCCCCCATCCATTCATCTCCCCACGCGCCTGAGTGCAGTCATCATCACTTGATCACCGCATTAAACCAGTGATCCCCAGGGACTGGTTTTGGTCAAATTGAGGACCGTGCTCTGTCGCAAAGTCCGACATGAACCTTGTCCCCTGCAGCCCTGCCCTGGCTCCGTGGATCCTTGCAAGTTGTCGAACGGTGAGGCGGGGGGCATTCTCTTTCCTCGCTCCCGAGTTTCTCCAGGGCAAAGACCGCCTACCAGTCCGAGAAGAATGTTTGCTGAGAGGGTTTGCACAGGCTTCAAACGGGATAGCTCATCGACCCCTAGGCACGTCGTGAAGGCTTAGCGATCCTACCGGAAGCGCCGTAACACCAGCCGCTGCAGGCCATGGGCGCTTCGCCTGCATCTATGTACAAGTGGAAGCTGAAGAAAAAGCCGTCGACGAACCCACTGGCCCCGATAAAAAGAGACTGGGATGTTGGAACTTTGAAATTACGCAAGTCGTCCTGCGCCGCATTGCGGATATTCCGTATGCATGTACGCCTTGACTGTATGTAACAACAATCCAGCCAAAGTTTCGTAGCCAAGATCTCGGGTCCGAGTCTTCTCGTCATCTGGTCTACCATCACATTTGGAGCTGAACAGAAGAAGGCAAAGAGGATTGTGCGCCACTGCTGTTTGGCGTGTGAAATCTTCATCATTTCATATCCCATCATACTATGTATAAGCCACTTTGCAAACGATACGCGTGAAAAGGAACAATCGCAGGGCAGGGAAGCTGAGCGGTAGCTTCATGAATCGTGTGCATGATAGGACTTCACGCGCCCACTTTGGTCTTCCCTGCCGGGTATCTGACGACGCTTTCAAAAGGCTCCCCATTCTCCACCAACACCGTAAATGCGTAAGTAAGCCTATTTGAGGCTGCGTGTGCTTGCTGTTCACTGTGATTCATAACGACGCCTGCCTTGTCGTCCTTCTTGTCGCCGCCGCATCGTGACTGTCATTGCCGTCGACGTCCTCTTCCGAGATCCAGAATTCTGTTCGCTTCTGGATACCTGGTTCAAGCGGGATGTCGCTGTGGTCGCTCTTTGATAAGGAGGGCCTGCGCTCCGAGCGTATAAAAATGTCGGTGGTACCGCCGTTGTCGCCGTGTAATCTGCTGCCGTTGTTGTACGCAGATCGAGAGCGATGTGACGAATTTCCGTATGCTGAGGGATGGGAACTGGGGAGCTGTTTTTCTCCAAAGAAGTAGAACCAGAGGGATCTGGAGAGTGCCAGGTTTCCAGCAATTATTCCGAGGTAAAGCTCTAAGTTGGACCAAATTGCGGTTACTGCGTATACGTCTAAGGATGTTGTTAGCTGAGTCCTTTCGGACGCCCGACCAAGAAATGTCCTTACAACTCAAGTCGTTAGTCACCAGGCCAAGAGAGGCTGCTCTTGCAATACCGAAGCCAGTGGCGCTGTCAGGTAATGTCAGTTTACTAGTTCGGTGTGGGGGTTCAGAGGTTGCTCACATCAAACCGAGACTCATTAATGCGCCGACCGAGAGTTTGGTCGACAGTGGTATGCGTACTTGCCAGACTACAACGAGAGGCAACAAGGAGCATAACAAGTCTGTCGCAACGGAGTATGCTAATGGGTAAATATGTCAGTCGCAAGCCACAAAGATGCCACGTCCCTGCGCCTGACTTACAGATAGTCAAGTAAATCGAGTATATCCGAATCTTGGCGTCCCAGCACACTCCGTTTCCTGTCCAGTAAGCGTCGACGGGATCGCACTCGGCGAGCAGGATGATGATGACGCCAAAGTTGGTGATAACCAGACCAGCCATGACGGACCACAAAAAGTACTTGAGCCGGCTGGAGTCTTTGATGCGGAGCAGCAGTAGCATGATGGAGCACTTGAGCAAGCAGATACTGGCGAATAGAAGGATTTGCGCGAACCATCCAAGCATGCTGTTGTTGACGTATTCCTCTGTCGAAATGTACCATCGATGCCTCCCATTGCCCGAGTTCCCTTGCGCGCACTGAACGCCATATCTGATGACGCCGAGACTGGCAACGATTCCCATAAGATAATCATCCCATCCCAGATGCCGTAATGCGAAGCGAACGTAGAGGCGGATCGACGTCGTGAAGATGACAAAGAAGATTAGCGCGCCGGAGACACCAAGGAGGATCGGGTTGACGTTCTCGTCCGGCGGCAGCGGATTCGGAGGGGTGACTGGCGCCATCGCGAGCGCGTACGTAGGAGTCTAGTGGACTCAAGCCTGGATAGCGTGGAAGAAGACGCCAGGACAAGGAACGAGGGTGCAGCACACCAGGAAATACTAGGCCATGGGCTGGATAAATGTGTGGAAGAGAATAAGACGGCCAGCGGGTAATCGACCCACGGGATAGTCTCTGCACAAGGCAAAGACGAGGACGATCGCCAAGATCTGCTTTTGGATGGCAGCTCATTTACCCCCGGACTTTTAAACGTCCCACTCGACGTGCGCCCTTGAGGGGGGAAAAGGGGACGTTGGTCGTCTTAAGAGCTGCGACGAAGCTGAGAAGGAGGAGGAGGAGGAGGAGAACAAGCTACATGCAATTCCGCAGTAGCCAGCCCTGCATGCGCGGACGGAGGAAATATGAGATGCAAGGAGGTCAAGGCACCACGGCGCATATGTCTCAGATGGGCGAGACACAATCTACCCATCCCGCGGTTGTGTCGGGAGGAGGGTGGTAAATGGTAATGATTTGATGCCTTGGACGCCGACGACGCCGAGGTGGTGTTGTGTTGGTTTGGTAGGATGCAAGATTACCCAGCCTTTGGTTCGATTCTTCCAAGATACGGATAATAGGTAATTGGTAGTTTATTTCGTTGCCCCGAGCAGAGAGGCTGCATGCCAAAGGACGGGAGCTAAACGCAAATGTCTAAGACCTAATTCTCTCGACTACGTCCATTCGAGGGATCGCTGTGTCCTGCATGGCAAAGACGGGGACCCCTTCCCCAAAAGAAGAAGGGTCTTGGCCGGGAATGACTAGGAGTCTCGTATTGTGGAAGGCCAGGTAGGACGAGCATCCTCTCCTCTTTTCTCCTTCTTCGATTCCTGCCCAGCTTCTGCGAGCTCCTGTCTCGTTGCTTGGATACAAATTGAGTTTGAGCGGCCTCCATTCCCCTGCGTATCTCTCTCGGTTGTTGACGATCAAAGTACATAGACCCTGGGCATGTGTGGATTCTTCTCATGCTGCGACCTGCAGTGCCTGCGCATCTGACAGGTTGTGGGATGTTGCGCAATGTGCCGCAGGTCTCCCAAGGGGTACATATGATTTACGTACACAGACTTGTGTGGGCTCTTCTTGCCAATGGTTTACCAAGCAAATACCCGCAGCAGAGTTGAGCAAATGGAGTAAGTTGATGACGATCGTCTTCTTTCAAGTTTTGACTTTCCCATCCCATCTTTCTCCTCCTTATCTCTTGACGTCTCAACGCACACAAGACATGTAGTTGGAGGCCATGAGACAGATTCGGACACAGACCAGAAAGCATAACGGGTAGCCGAGCGGCGCGCGGCAGCTTTTCTGCTCTTCCTGCTCGAGAAACGAGGGGCGGACGCTGGCGAGGGTTTCGGTCGTGCGAAAGGGTGGTGCCCGAGTTTAATTAATGGATGGTATTGGTACGACTGTCAGGGGTATCCTGGGCACTCCGTCGGCAGGCTGCGCGGCGAGGGACGAGCTTTCTAAACAAAGATACCGAAGAGGATCCAAACCGTTGAGCCCCCGAGGGGAAACTCGGGAGAGAGAGAAACGGGGAGACGGGGAAGAGCCGGGAAACGCAGTTATTAACCCGTCAATGCTTCGATAGACGTGGAGTTATTATGGAATTGTTCATAACTGACCGAGACGGATGATTTGTTCAGACAGGGTCACGTCGACTTGTCCAAATGGGCCTGACAGGCCTATCCTTGAGTCGTGAACCTAACCCCGGAAGCGACCGGCCGGCGCAGCTCCGCAATTGTCAACGGTGCTTCGCCGGATAGGCACGTTGATGGCACGGTAACATTTGCCCGGGTACACAGCCATCCCCGTCGGCGAACACGTTGAACCGTGGGACGGTTGATGTTGCTTCGCGACATAGTAAGGGGAATTTGCTGTGCCGTTCGTCTCTGGTAGAGCAGAACGCAACCGAACCTGCATAAGTGTCTGACATTCCCTCGTCATCCATTCTTTTTCCCCTCTCTTCAAGGTTGGGGTAGATAGTTTGGCAATTGTCCAACAAGTCGTGTTGTTGGACCGGCGCGCTGGTAGCTTACACGCGCATTTATAAGTGCTTACGCTGCCGTGTGACACCACCACAACATACCGCCACCATTTCCTCCTCTCCCGGGACTTCTTCAGCGGTACCTACGAATAGTCTATAGCATATGAGGATTCTCGGCACCCCACTAAGCTACCATCATGTTCCCGTCCCTCCAGACCTTGAAGGACGGGCGACCTGGGGCGGAGAACAAGGATATTTTTTTGGGCCGCGTGTATGATTACTGGCGCCGTTTTCTTGGAATATGGATAAGAAGCCCTGCTGACTTGCTAAAGAAGCTTGTAAGGGGGTTAATAACCGCATTATTGACATTCGACTTTCACTTGAGGCAATTTTGGGGGCTGCATACAAAAAGAGACACGATCCTGCTGCCGCATGGAACATGGCACGCCACAGCACGCCCTCCACTTCGTGTCGTTTGGTACCATTGACGAGGTTTCCCGAACCTAGACTTGATGTGCAGATATCACGCTTATTGTATTTCAAAGCTCGAGCGTTTGCTTCTCTTTTGATCTAGGCTCTGGCAGAACTTGGAGAAGCGCGTTTCTCAGATCGCCGAGCCGAGGGTTCCTAAACTTTATTTTCTCGAGCGTGTGGAAAAAGATCGCTGCATCGTCTTAGCCATGCTTGTCAAGTCGAGTCTCGCTCTCGCCTTCGCGGCCCTTGTTTTGGGTGCCACTTCCTCCTCCTCGTCACAGCCCTATGAGGATACCTACGATTATGTAAGTTGTGCCCAGCTCTGCTCTCGGACGTTTGCGTTGCTTCATTTACGGGGTCTCTCTGTCGGACGTATTCGCTTGTGCCCTCTTTAGTATTTTGCGTTTGACGCGGCCCGGGGGAGGTTTGATTACCTGATACACTAACACTTCGTCTTTTCCCCTCTCAGATCGTCGTCGGCGGTGGCACTGCTGGAGTAGCCGTGGCGGCTCGTATCAGCGAGGGACTCCCTGCCTGCAAGATTCTCCTCATTGAGGCGGGACCCGCGGTGTGGGATGAGCCTAAAATCAACGTCCCCGGCATGAAGGGCTCGACGCTGGCCACAAAGTACGACTGGAACTTCACCACCGTGCCGCAGTCCAATGTCAATAGCCGAACTTTCACGGTCAACCGAGGCAAGGTCCTCGGCGGCAGCTCCGCCCTCAACCTCATGTCGTACGATAGGGCTGCGGTGGCCGAGTATGACAGCTGGGAGGCTCTCGGCAACCCGGGATGGAATTGGGAGACGATGATTGCCGCCATGAAGAAGTCGGAGAACTTTACTGGCATTAATAGCGATACGTACGGGTCCGAGGGTGTCGGCGAGAGCGGCCCGGTTAAGGCTGTCATCAACCGCATCATCCCCGAGCATCAGAAGACGTGGATCCCGACGATGAATGCCCTCGGCATTGAGAGCAACTTGGAGTCGCTCGGCGGAGACCCTCTCGGAGTGATGTATCAGCCCAGCAGCATTGATCCGACTCACTACAATAGGTCTTACAGCGCCAACGCCTACGTTCCCATTGCCGGCTCGAACTTGGAAATCCTTTCTGATACCACGGTCCTCAAAGTCAATCTCGGAAAGGCAACGGGTGACTCGACTCTTCAGACGGCCACAGGAGTCACCCTTTCAGACGGAACCATCGTCTTAGCCCAGAAGGAGGTTATCCTATCTGCTGGCTCCATCCAAAGCCCAGGCTTGCTGGAGTTGTCAGGCATTGGCCAGTCCTCCGTTCTCAACGCCTCCGGTATCGAACAATTCATTGAACTTCCTGGCGTTGGCGAGAACCTTCAAGATCATCTTCGAATTCAAAGTTCCTACCAGCTCAAGGACAATTACACCTCCTTTGACATTCTCCGCAGCAATGCCACCTACGCCGCGGAGCAGCTGGCCCTCTGGAACGCCGGACAAGTCTCGCTTTACGACTACACCGGCAGCGGCTACACCTTCACGACCTGGGCGCAAGCCGTCGGCAACGACTCGCGCCTGGTAACCCTCGCCAAGGAAGCCGCCGGCGAAGACCCCAGTGTCGTTGATAAGAAAAAGCTAGAGTTTATGACCGATCCTTCCATCCCCCAGCTCGAGGTCATCTTCTCGGATGGCTACACCGGCGTCAAGGGGTACCCCGCGTCAACATCTCCTCTCTTTGGCGAAGGGTTCTTCACCCTCATCGCCGCGATCATGCACCCCTTGAGCCGGGGCGATATCCACATCAACCCCGCCAACACCACCGGAAAGCCTGTCATCAACCCGAACTACTTTGCACACGAACATGATCTGGAAGCAGCGATCCAGGCCATCAAGTACTGCCGCAAGATCGCAAACACCGAACCAATGAGATCTATCTGGGAGAATGAGTACGAACCTGGATTGGATGCTGTCCAGACCGACGAGCAGTGGAAACAGTTTGCTCTCAACACGACGTTGAGCATCTTCCACCCCGTCGGAACCTGTTCCATGCTCCCCAAGGAGGATGGCGGTGTTGTTGACAGCGACCTGAAGGTGTACGGCACCTCCAATCTGCGCGTCGTCGATGCTAGTGTCATTCCTCTGCTTATCTCTGCACATGTGCAAACTGCCGTCTATGGTATCGCAGAGATCGCGGCTGAGCGCATCATCGCAGATGCTTAGAAGTGATCAGGCGGACAAGGGTCATTGACATGATTGATGACAGCATAGACTAGCGTCGGAGGATTCTTTTCATAATTCTAATGATAATTTTTCACCAATATTTGCACAATTCGCTGGAAGCTCTCGTGTGATACGTTGCGCTTTGTTGCAATATCTGATGAGAAGATGACGAGACCAGGGGCATCCCTTCGATGAAGCTGTATCATGCTTGAGAATTACCTTCTAGTGACGCCACAGCTTTAAAGTTATTGAGCCTCTTGGGCCGTTGATGCCATCTTGCAGGTTGTACCGTTTGAAAATCATACAAACATCACACAGACTGAACTTGAACTCTTGTAGAATGAGTTGACTCAGGATTGGGTAGTCCAACCATGCTGATGGGACATTCAGTGGGTACATATAAGAACAACCGTCACAGCTATAGCATGCTTGAACCAGGGACCATTCAATAGCCTGAAGTGATTTATTTACGGAAAGAACTTTTATACATAAGATAATCTAGAACGAAACATGTACGTTGAAGTGGCTCAGGAGTTCATCGTCACCTGTAGCCGGTACCTGCCATGATCACATCCACTCAGCACTTGAGGGCTCGATCATCTAGTGCAGGTGAGCATGGCGTCTGAAGCGCATGGCCTGGCGCTGGGCGCGCTTGGTGATACCGTTACACTTGCTAGTCTCGGGGGCAGTAGAGTTCGAAGACCCGGTGACGGTGACGGCGGCAATCTTCTCGGCGGCGTGCTCGGCGGTGATCATGATGATGGATTGAGTGTTACCGGTGGGCAAGTCAGGGTGGATGGAGGCGTCGACGACGAAGAGGTTGTCGGTGCCGTAGACCTTGGTGTCGAGGTCGACGACGGCGGTACCGTCCGTCTTGCGGCCATCGTCGGTGCCCATCTTGGCGCTACCGACCCAGTGGTCACCAGAGATCATCTTGGTGCTGATGATGTCGTCGGGAGTGGCACCGGGGGTGACGTAGCTGAGGGTGGAGTTGCTGCCGCTGGTGAGGTCGAGCCAGTACTGGACAAAGTCGGACATGGCCTTCTTATCAGCGGCGTCGATCAACCAGGGCTTGGTGTTGAGGACAGTGTTGCCGGAGGCGGTGATGCCGAGCTCGCCGAGGGTGGAGGTGCCGTGAGTCAGGAACGTGCGGACGGTGATGATGCCGTTCTGCATAGCGCTGGCAGTACCCTGTAGGTAACGGGTGCGGCCGTCGGAGCCCTCGGCGGAGGTCCAGAGGTGCATACGCTGAGCGGCCTGGGTGATGGGACCGGAGCCCTCCTTGTAGAGGTTCAGATCGCTGGTGACGGGGTTGGAGGCGATGGCGTTGAAGGCGTAGGCGCTGAAGTTGGTCTTGGAGTTGAACTGGAGCATGACCTGGGCGTGGTCCTGGAGGTGGTGTCCGACGGGGAGGTCGATCCAGTCGGCCTGGTCGGGGAGGGTGACGCCAGTGCTGGCGGCTCCGGACTTGACGATCTCCAGGGCGTCAGAGCGGCCGATACCAGAGTTCCACAGGAGACGGGGAGAAGACATGGCACCGGCGGCGAGGACGACCTTGCCGCCAGCGTTGACCTTGATGATCTGGGTGCTGCCGTCGGCGGCCTGGGTAAGAACACCGGTCATCTTGCTACCGGTGCGGAGGACCTGAATCACCTTGGTCTCGAGCTTGAGGGTGAAGTTGGGCAGCTGCTGGGCGAAGGGCATGTAGGTACGGGCAGGGCCAGCACGGAGGTTGTCCTTGATGGACCACGAAGGGCGGGAGAAGACGGAGGACTTCTCGTTGGGAGACTCGATGGAGTCAACCTCGTTCCAGCCCTTGGCGCTCAGGAGGCCGGAAAGGACACGGAAGGTCAAGTCATCGTAGTACTTGCCGTCGTCGGAAGGCTCAGTGGTACCGGGGTTGCGCTCGTAGAGGCGGGAAGCGGCGTCTGAGACGTCAGCCCAGTTCCAGCCCGCGGGCCAGCGCTGCCAGTCGTGCTCGGGAGGGTGGATGAAGTTGAGGCCGTTGATGGAACTGGATCCTCCCAACAAGCAGCCGGCGGTGGAGGCAGTGTCACTGCAGAGGGAAGTTCCGGAGAGACTGGTCATGGAGCTGCCGAGCGCAGGAATGTCGTAGGGGGTAAGGGTGTCGTTCCAGGGCAGAGCCATGTCGGAGCCCAAGGCGACAGTGTTGGCAGGGCCACGCTCGATGAGGAGAACGCTAGAGCCCTTCTCGGCGAGACGCTCAGCGGCGATGATACCAGCAGGGCCACCACCGACGACGATGACATCGTAGGTGGTGTTGGAGGTGGTGGGAGCGGGGATGGTACTGTTGCCAGGAACGGGAGTGGTGGTGCCGTTGCCGGGGACGGGCGTAGTCTCAACGGCCTTTGCGTACTTGGACCAGGTATCGAACTTGGCGGACTTGGCAGAAGCAATGTCAAGACCGAACTGACCGAAGCCAGCGGAGTGGTAGTTCAGGGCAGCAGCCGAGTCGGAGACGGGTGACGGGCTGGTGTCGGAGTAGGCCCAGCCGAGGATAGGGGAGTCGCCAGCCAAGCTGGTCTTGTCGTTGATACAGTTCTGGCACAAGAAGGTGTACGAGAAGTGAGTGCTATTGACAAAGGTACCGTTGGCGATGGGGACAGCGGAGACCTCGGTGGCAGTGTAGACGTCGGGGTTCGCGTAGGCACTTCCCATACGGAAAGATGTCTTGATATCCTCGCCATCGGCCCAAGCGACGAAGAGGAGGCCGTTCAACATGCCACCCTTCAACGAGACGGCACCCCAGTTACCCTTTGTTGAGATAGGTACAACCATCTGACCAATGAAGTCCGTTCCGATGGTCTCGGGGACCGCGATACCGAAGCTGTAGGGGTAGGCGGAAGGCAGGTAGCGTTGGAAGTCGATACCGGTCTGGGGGTCTGAGTAAGCCGAGGCTCGCAGTTGCGCAGTGGCAGATCCAGCGAGCCCGAGAACGGCCGCTACTCCTGAGAATGTAGAGCGCATGGTGGCGATCGTTTGCAAGTTCTTCTCAATATCTCGAGTTTGTTCGGTTTCGTTTGGGGGATAAGGAGTGGATTTGGAAATTGTTCAAAAAAGGGAACAAGTCTCAAAATGGGAGTGAATGAACGTAACCTCTAGGGTCAACAAGTGAAAAATGAATGAAAACACCGTACTAGCGGTGACTCGAAAAAGAAGGAATGCACGAAAGATGCGGCTCAACAATCAGAAAGAAGAGTCAAGTCGTGTCGAGGTTGGAGGCGGTCCTCTGGCGTTGATATTATATCTCTCCATGCCTTCCAGGCTTCTCTCCTATCCAACGATCCGTCATCCAACAACTAAGTGCCCACCGTACCACTTAGTATCCGTCCCTGGAGGAACTGTACAAGACGGGAAGGACCCCCACTGAAGCAGGTTTCCTTAATCTCATATTGTCCAAGGATGGCTGCTGCTTGCATACTGCGCAGTCCGGGGTCCGTAGCGCCGGACCAGGGGGTCGCAGAGATTCTCCGTGTTGGTCTCGGTCGTCGGCAGACCCGCTGAAGTTGGTGAACCCCGGGATGTGCATCCTTGGGGCCGCTAGAATGTTTGATATAAACTTGTCTGCTATCTGGTGCCAAGCGCGCCAACTGAGCCAGCTCGCGCTTTGTTTCAAATAAGAACACCATCATTGGCAGAACTCCCAAACGAGGCCATCGCCGCACTTGCAGGCAGATGCAGGCAACGCAGGCGACTTGTCCCTATGACGTGCCGTGTAATTTGAGCCGGCTTGTTTTACTTACATGTGAGGTGTCCCACTTACCGTAATCGCGAAGCCCGCAGGTGATCTGGGCGCACAGTGCCGCCCCCTTTCGTCCCCCTCTCGTTGGTGTCCAACGGTGAAATGGACCGACCTTCAGCGCCTCTGCGGCCAACCAGCTCCAGCCACTTCGAAATCTTCGGATGAACTGACCGAAGGGGGCGGCGGCCGCAGTGGATAGCGGGAATAATGCAACGTTGAGGCGATCGAGAAGGGCCTTTGCGAATTGGACATGATAATAAGTGAGCAAACAATCCTCCAGGACGCGGGATGTCGAAAGAGCCTCCCTGCAGCTACCTTTAATCTCATGCACTCCTGTCTACCTAGCGCCTACACTACCGCCATGATGTGACTTCTGCTCACCAAGACATGCCAAATCGAAGACACTTTGCTGGCTAGGCCAGACCATCGGGATCAAGAGCCGAGACTAACCAGTAACAACTAGCTTTTACTGCAACGCTGATCTTCTGGACCAGAACTTTGATAAGATCGAGTTGCTTTACTCGAGACTCTCCAATGTCTCCATCAGCCTCAGGTGGAAGGTCCCCCATGTTTGTAGTCCACAATTACCCCTCATAAGCTGGAATGCCACCTTCTCAATTGGCGGAATTTGTTTGCGTTTAATAATTGGAGTCGATGGATATGAATCAATTGAACCATACTCGGTGGATTCTCGTCCAATTTTACCGAGCTCCTCGGTAAAAGTTGCTCATATTTGCTCCGCCGCGAATAGTGGACGCGAAGGTTTTTTCCCTCTTTTCTTTTGGCGCCGTAAGATTGGGCATGTTTTGCCATTTGGCATTTCCCCTTTTCTTTCGGCCGAACATATTTGGACTTGCTGCGGGAGACAAAACTCATGTCTACCGCGCAATGTGAGGCTACTGCGCGTATAGATGCCGTCTATTTATCCGGACGGTTATTTGTGGCATTTGGTGGTGGACGAGTCAGAGAATACCCAAGCAATCCGGAGACGCGGGAACACAACAGGGACTAACCTTGAAGTGACAGGACAGAATTCACCCGAAAGTTAGCGCCCAGATGTCTGTCTCTCAGGGGCTGTTTGGATGTTACACAAGATATTGCTTGATCAGCACTTGACTCGCAGACGGGAGCGCTGCTGATCTGTTGATCAAGCCAACTCCATGGCGCGTTAATCAACTGTCATGCCAAGCTTTCCGACTAGCTTCCACGCGGGAGCCTTGTCCATGGACAAACGGAAGGCGACGGATGAATTTCTCGCGATTAACAGTGCAAAATTCCACAGGCTGCTTCTTCAGGGGAAACTTTCAAATTCTGGAATCGATCCTTGCCAGATTGATGGACATAGCCACTAGCGGAGCAAGCCTGATTATTAGCTATTGCCGAGATCCTGACCATAATTTGACGAGTGACGACGACCTCATTAGTGAGCAAACTCACGAAGGATTGTTTCGTTTTCATGGGACTCTCCCTTTGTCTTCGGCAATTTCTGGCCGGATGAAACTCTGATTTATTGCGATCATCAATATCGCCGTGTTGGTCCTAATTAAGACCTTTCATGTAGCTCGATGAAGAATTCATACAAGAAACTTGACTCGGCCGAGTTCGTGCGATTTTCAATCCTTACGTCCCCAAGCCCTCTTAAGCGTACTTACTCAAGTCACATGACAGTCCCTTCACAGCCTAATGTTTTGACTTAGATAGCGCATTCTGTTAATTGTCTTACTCAAGCGAGGGGGCCAAACATGATGCAAAAAGCGCGAATGGCTTCCATCCTCTCTTCTGTCTTCATTCGAACCCGCTTGGCTTATCTTGTACGTAGTGTTTATGTATACCTAGTATCACCAAGACTCACAACTAAGTCCCTCATGTTTGCAAGGATAATATGGCTTAACCTGATGCATTGTGAGCTTTGGGCGTCATTGGTGAAGAGTCAGGGAGCAACACTTACAACATCAGGATGTTCCGGCCATGGGGTGCCATGGACATTGAGCTCTTCGAAGTCTTTCGGCGGATTCTCCAGTATCGCGTCCATCATGTACTTGGTGCAATGTATCGTATGGCTGTAATTGAAAGGGGGATCGTAGCCCAGAGAAATCCACAGGTGCGTCTGCCGCAGAGTGTACATGCAGTGGTATGTGTGTTCCTTCCTCGTGACCCAGCCGGCGGTCAAGACTTCGCTCGTCGGTGGTATCTCATGTTTTCCGCCCTTATCATAGTATCGATGCCATGGCCCTTCATTGTGAAATTCTTTGAGTAGGGCCACGTTGTCTTTGTGCGCCATAGGCTCTTTGGGCCACCATTTAAACGACATGGTGTCAAACTCGCAGCCCCTGTCGCGCGCGATTTTGGGTAGAGCGCCGTTGGGCGCGCAGACGTACCCTGATAGGTCGAGGTCCATCTTCTGGCAGGTTTCGCATGATGGAAAGAAGGCGAGATACGCCAGTATTGAGAAGACAAGGATGGGTGGAACGAAGAGATACCAAGATCTCCAAGCTGGGTCGAACTTTTGCCATGGAAGGTGTTTCCTGACTCTGGCGAACCCGGCTTCTTGATCGACGGAGGAATCTCTCGACGCGCCTTCTTCGCAAGACTCTCCCTCAGTCTCGTCTTTGAGGAGAGAGTACTTCTCTTCGCGTTTGCCCGACTTTGGTAACATGTTGTGCTTGACAAGTGGCCGACCCCACCTATTAAATGCTGAGCTGCAGTCGTTTAATGGTGCAGGAAGGCTTTCTGCTCAATTCGGAGACGACTTGACGATGTGGCACCAGTCTGGTTGTGTAGTACTAAAAGGCCCAGGTACAGAGCAAGACACATCAAGTAATGACACAAATGTGCCGCATCAGACCCCAAACACTACTACGACGGTGAACACAAAAGGTTTGATGATAATCACACAGCTGAAGCTTCTCCTCTCCGTCGACTCAGGCAACCGCTGGTACATCGGCTCCGGAATACATATCCTCATGCGGAGCATAGCTCGCTTTCAGATCGGGATTGGCGGACCGAAAGGCCCACATTTCCGGACCGAAGCCCCGATCCACCATCGGTCCGACAAAAATGCACTGCTCCGATCAACTCGCAGACGCCACCAGCGTTGATCATTGTAAGCAAAAATTGGCAGAGTTGGTAGCATATTGTGTGACTCGAAGAGAGTTGAGCTCGCATGGGTATCTTTCCAAGTCTCAGTCTCAGTTGTTGTACACTCAAGCAGCAACACCCCTATGACCACTGGAGTCTATATCGATGAGTCAAACTACGAAATACTAGTAGGAATTCAATCAGAATTACGGGATTTGTACCACCGAAGCCTACTATACCTTTCGTCAGCTCTACTTCCTGGTCTGAAGGAAACGTGGTCTTTGCTGTGGTTGCAAAACCTTGATCCAAGGGCCGTGCTGAAAACATGAAGCGTCAACAATAGCTCAACACGACAATCCTTTCCGCGCAATGCTTAGTTGAACTAGCCAGAAGACTAACCTCTAGATAATTTACGAGACATGGCAATGGCATGCGTGATTTATCATCTCCCCATTTCAATTGTGAAAGTTCAATTATGTAAGCCAGCTTGGAAACCTCGAGGAGTTAGCGCCTCTGAAAAGGACGAGTAGATCTTACGGTCGCTTGAAACATGGCTGAAACCTCACCACCAAGGATCCTTGAAGCTCCCATGTTCGCGAATGCCCCGATGGGCCCGTTGGGGGTCTTTCGACCATCCGTTGCCCTCCATTCTTCTCGATGAAGAAATGCAACTGGAGTTCATCTCTTGGCAAATTCTTGGTGTTCTTGGCCTCCCAATCGGCTATCGTGGCGGCGTTCTTTCTTTGATGATCTTGTTTGTTTGATTAAACAACAGCCATGCTCTCCGAAAATCGTCCACTGGTGTGGTCCTTCTTGGCGCTATTTCTTATTTTTGTCTGGAGCCTCCGATTACTAGGCGTTCACGATGCGATCGCAGATACAGTTTCAACATTTTTTCCTGATGAATCGAACGAAGAAGCGACGACCGAGAGCGGGTTCATGCGACAAGCCATTGATGTCGAATTTCCAACTCCGATCGACTACGCGCCCATTCGGGAAACATGCTCTCGCACTCGGTTTCGCCCTGGGCTGCTCTTCAGCTGCGAAGAACAGCACGGCGGCATTGGCATGGTGCGGAACCAAATACTGAAGTGCGTCCGGTATGCGATCCACGGCGGAGGTGCACTCGTTTTGCCTTCAATGTCCCTGCGTAACGCGAAAGACATTACCGATATCGAGACGGGAAACGAGGTGCCTCTCGACTACCTATTGGACCGCGAGGCATTTATAACACGCCTGACAGAGGGGTGTCCGGGGATGATCGTGTACGAAAAGGCGACGGACTTTCCCTTCTACGAACACCGTTTAGGGGAGCCTTTGTCTCTGGTGGGAGACCATTTCGAGCCAGACCATCCACGGGAGGGGCTGAGACATCCGCGAAAATGGCGATACTTCTTCGACAACTGGCTCGAAGAGCAGGGAGTTCGAGAACATATGGATCCAGAAGCTCCAGTACACATCAAGATGGAGCAGTCCTTCCTCGAGTATCCCGTGCGCGACGACGGTGACGCCTTCGTACACGAGTTCGGCAAAATACTGTCCTTCAGGAATGACACTCGCGCTCTTGCGGCAAAGATTCTCTACCTGCTCAAGGAGAAATTCGCGCTTCCTTTCGATCCGAGAAAAGCCATCAACCCCAATGCTTATTTTGGGGCGCATCTACGACTGGAGAAGGATGCCACTTCTGCCTGGGGGCCTGACGAGTGGCGGTTCTCGCGGATGGATGACCAATTCGAAGAACAATTCCGCTATCTCGAGCGCACGGGATTGAACGTTGTCTACGTGGCATCTGGAAACCAGACTGTGGTCGATATTTTTGCGGAAAGGCTCAACAAGTATCTCTCAATAGAGACTGGTACACCAAGGAGGAATATTACGGTGGTGACCAAAAACGACCTGCTTCTCGGGGCTGATCGCGAGCAACTTGATGCCCTTACATTTGACCAGCATGCCCTAGTGGATTTTCTGGTCATGTTCAGAGCGAGCGCATTCATGGGCGTCGCTCATTCCAGTTTCCCGTGGACTATTGCCCTGCGGCGGCACGAGCTGAGTAAATATTCGAAATTTGGCAACGAAGGCTCAGATCTACTGAGAGACGAGTACAGCATCATTATGGGCATGGAGGCCGACTACCCATATGTCGACCCCTTTGTTTATGGCCTGTGGCCATAAGGCCATTTCGGCTTCCCGGAAAGAAATGGGACAGCGACATCGTATGGATGGATAATGAAAGCATAGATACCAGCATGTGTATAAGTTTTGACAGGCATCAAAATACATGTAGAAAGACTCTAGCATCATCAAGGTAGAAAAGCAAAGCAAGAGCACGTCTAATACCACAAAACGAAATTCAACTCCGAGTTCCAAGTTCCCTGCAACGTGGTTGGCGAATCGCACTAGGAAGTGAGCCTTATTTTGATGTCGCCCACCGTCTGGCTGTGCTGATCAATCAACAGACCAAGTAGTCGTCGATATGTCTGCGTCAAGGTCTTCATGGTAGTCTCAGAAAACAGGGACTCGTAATAGGCAAGCGTAGCGTCAAGTCGGGATGGTCCTTCGTTGAATGCCAGTACCAGGAGTTGCTGCCAATATGCCGGATTAGTTCATGCACTCTTGTTCAAGAGCATGGCTTTTGACTTGCCTCGTGGGGATCCTGCTTCCAGATTGATCGGAACCCAATCTCGATATCATCATCCGAGTACTTGACCTTTCGGTGGTTGACTAGCGTATTGAAAAGTCCAGTACCTTCGCACCCTAGCTGACGCTCGACTTCGGTCAAGTCAAAGGTCTTGTGGTTCAGGCTGCGGATGTTCTCATCTTGGAAGGCCTGCAGGGCCTGGATAATCATCGTCGAATCGTCAAAACTAGCACAGGCTATCATCATTGATAGCATTGGTCCGACAACCTCATCCGCGTGCGGCAAGTTAATGTCTCGATCAGAGACCAGATGCCCAAAACACACGGTAGAATGACCAGTGTAAACATGGAGGAGCATAGCCCATGCGAATTGAAGAACGTTCGAAAGAGTCACCCCAACCTCGGAGAGAAACTGCTTCATCTCGACTGTGATATCAACTACGAAGTTGATGGAACCCATGGTATGAGGGTCTGGGCCGCTTCTCACCAAAGTCTCGATTGGGACCATATATGGCTTTACGCCCTGTAGCTTGTCGACCCAGTATTCACTGCTTGCGTGGACATCTCGCTGAGAGTTGATGTGCTCGATGTAATCATGAAAACCGGTCAGAGGCTTTGCCCCTGGGCTCTGATCACAATAGAGCGTGACAAAGTCGCAGAAGACGTGTGCCAAGCTCACATGATCAATCAAGATGTGTCCCATGACGAAGTGGACGAATATCTCTCCATAAGAACCAACAAAAAGGCGCACCGAAACTGGAGGTGAGTCGTCCTTGAATAAATTCGAGCGAACGGTGTCGAGATGGAGCCTAGCTCCTTTCGTGGCTTCTTCCACTGAGCTGACTTCTAGGACGGTGATGTCAGCCTTGTGCTCTTTGAGCACTCTCTGGAAGATAGCTCCCGAGGCAAGGTCGCGGATAAAGACAGTCCTCAATATCGCATGCCGAATGATGGTTTGTTGCCACGCCCCCAGAAGCGCGCCGGTGTCGACAGACGGAGAACCTTGAATGGCATTCAACAAAACAAGACTGTTGAATAAGTATGGTCTCTGAGGCTTGCTAAGGAACGCTTGATACATCCTGTTCTGGAACGGCGAGCAGGGTGACACGGTCTCGACATTGTCGTGAGCTAGGACAGAGTGCGGTACAGGGGCAGAATTGCTTGTTATCCTAGGCAGGGCGTGGTCCATTTCGGCCCTGGTGGCTCGCTTCGTAACTTTGCATGCCAAAAGCCTAATTGTTGGGTTCGCGAGAACATCCTGTGTTGTCACGTCGAGGCCAACTGCTTTGCAGAGTCTCATTGCTTGCATCGCTAGAAGATAAAACAACATCAGCCACTTGCCAATGGTTCAGAGAATCGATTGGATTCTCTGCAGATACTCACCGTAGATAGAATCTCCTCCAAGTCTGAAGAACGACTGCTCAAGTCCAATTCGATCTGGAAATGGAAAGTCAGGTGTGTCACACGTTGCCGATTGCCGGTCGAGGAGCTTCTTCACTTACGAGGTTCAAGCCCAAGGATTTCCGCCCATATGCCCCTCAAAGTTTCTTCCGTGGAAGAGCCACTTTTATGATCTGAGTCACCATCTTGATGAAGATCAAGTGCGGTCGAAAGGGTTCGATGGTCAATCTGTCCTACCCAGCTCATGACTCGTTGCCGATCTAGCTTGAGTGATAGCTGGACTGGGAGGCTCTTGACAATGAGCCATATTTCCGGGATCATGTACTGAGGCAACTCTCTCTCAAGCGCCGAAGTCATTGTATTCAGCGCATTAGTCAGCTTCTGGCGCATCTCCTGACTGAGATTCTCCTTTTCGACGATGGTAATGTCCTGGTTGTAAGCGCGTGTTTCGAGATCCGATGATAAAACTGTCAGGCTCACGACAGCCACAAGGCGCTCTTTGAGTTTACCCAATTCCGGCACCAGGACCATACTGTGCACAATGATCCCAGAGAGATTGTTGAGATGATATTGAATTTCGCCAAGCTCAACTCGCTGGCCACGAATTTTGACTTGCGAGTGATCTTTCCTGCGTTGGATGAAGAGGCTTCCATCTTCGGCATACCTCACCAAATCACCCGTCTTATATAATCTTCGAGTGCCTCTATTACCTTTTAGTGAAAATTTCTTGTCAGATGCCCATGCGGGAGGCTCAATAAACGCGGTCGCGGTTTTGGTCTCGTCGTTGAGGTAGCCTTTACCCACAATGGGCCCGTCAAGAAGTAGTTCGCCAACAGCCCCAACGGGCATCAAGATGTGGTGGTTCTCCGGATGTACAACCCAAGCGCGACACCCAACCGGCCAACCGATGTTCGTAGCGACTGTATCTACCTTGAACGGAGCTCCAATGGTGCTGGTCACTGAGCACTCCGTCGGCCCGTAGCTAGGCCTCATGTGGATCTTCCCAGCCCATCGAGCCACAAGATCCTGTCCCATCGGCTCCGCATGGACGGTGATGAACTTGACGGATTCCAAATCGTCGGGATCAAGAGTACGGAGGAAAGATGGCGTGAAAGCAGCCCAGTTCACCCACTTACGCGCGACAAATCCGGGGATGTCGGACATGCGCTCTTCCTCGGACGGAATGCAGATGCAACCACCCGCGGCAAGAACGGTGAAAATCTCTTCGAGAGAGGCGTCGAAACAGAAGTTTGTGAACTGTAAGACGCGGGACTCGGGCTTGATTTGCAGCCAGGAGGTGTTGTATGCCACGGCTGAGCAGAATGACTTGTGCTGGATCACCACTCCCTTTGGTGTGCCTGTTGTTCCTGAGGTGAAGATGACGTAAAGTGTGTTGAGAGGAGTAACAGAATGGGTAAGCGAAATCGCAAAGTTTGAAGAATTCTCCATGGAAGTCTTCTCGACGACAACAAGTGTTTCCACGAGACTTGTCAGCTTGCTGTATTGTTCTGACGAAGACAGCCCAATCCTGGCCCCAGTCTGCTCGACCACAGACTTATTCCTCTTAGCAGCACTATTTGGATCAATGTGTACGAATGCCGCCCCGGACTTTGCCACCGCAAGCATTGACACCACTGCCCACAATGACTTTTCGAAACAAAGAACGACGATATCTTCTGGCACAACTCCCATAGCCTGGAGTTGCGACGCGAGATTGGTGGATAGGGAGTCCACTTCGGCGTAGGACAAATCGCCGTCCCAGGCACAGATGGCTGGCCTCGAGGGTTGTCTGTTGACTGTCTCTGAGATCATGTCGTGGACACAACGCCCATTGATCTCGAGCTGAGACGAGTTCCATTCCTGCATCTGCTTCTCATCCAGTGCGCTGGTGAGGCATATCTTCGAGATCTGGGCCTCTGGGTCGTCGATTATAGCTTGCACGGCGTTCAAGTAGACAGCTAGAATGCGCTCCCCTTGAAGTTCAGACATGAAGTATGTTGCAGTCTCAATGGTTACATGAAACTGCCCTGGATCTTCGGTGATACACAAGGCGATGTCGAACTATTCAAGGCGAGTTAGCATTCTCTTGGTTCATGATGCTACAACTGCAGAAAATTGAGACTGGAGACAGCGAATTACCTCGCTTGTGTCATGCACAAATAGTAGCTCCGATTTGATCCTCTCCGATTCCGGCGTTGCGGTCGTCTTTTGGAAGTTGAAAATCGTGTTGAATAAGGCATCTCCACTGCGTCGGGCTGCATGTTGGATCCGGGCCAAAGAAACTGCCTGTTTGGTGAGATGATCAATATTATCCTCTTGCAATCTAGTCAAGATCTTCGAGATCGTCGTCCTCGGACTTAGTTGTACTCTGACGGGCACGACATTGGCCATCGGGCCCACGATCTCTGACGCCCCCTGAATCGGGATGCCTCTACCGTGGCCGAGGAGACCAAAGACTACGTCGTCTGAGTTCAAATATGTGGACAAAACCATTGACCACGCGGCCTGGAATATGATGGGAATTGTGAGATCCAACTTTCGACATGCTGAGCTTAAATCGCGCTTGGGAAAAGTGGAAGATGTGCGGGTAAACTCGAGAGTTTGAACTGATGACGATCGATGTTGACGTAGTACTGGAAACAGACATGACGGTGCCCCATCCAAGTAGCGGCACCAATATTGTGCGATCTCATAGGTATCTTGCTTCTCGACATAGTCGATGTAATTGGAATACGGGTAGGTCTCGTGTTGCGGGCGATTGTTCAAAATAGCCAGGAAATTTCGAATCAAGAGGCGAGAAGTCGCTCCGTCAGTGATGATATGATTTTTGTCCAAAAGACAGTATACAGAACCGTCATCTGCGGTGTACAACTGAAGCTCATGGAGTATCTTGCCGCTCAAAGGTTTAGTTGCGACCGAGGAAGACTGCTCCGCCCACAGGGTTGGCAAATCGCTCTCGCTCCGAAGCCTGTGGACCTGAATTTCGATGTCGACAGCCTTCAACACGAGCTGAAGAAACCTTCCAAACGCATCTTCAATGAAGACAGTTCTCAATATTTGGTGCGTCGCAACAATCTGCTTCCAGGCTGCTATGAGGTCATTAGGATTGAGTGGCATTGACCCAGACAGCTTGAAAAGGAAGTGCTGGCTGTACTGATTGCTTGTACCCTTCAGCTGCGACAGTATGAGGCTAACTTGAATTGGAGAGCAAGGAAGGACTGATTCTATCTCGGTACGCGTGATGCCGAGACGGGAATGAGCGAGATTAAGGACGGCGTTGAGGTCCTTACGTTGAAGTCCAACTGAGGTAACCAGAGGCTCCGAAGGGGATGGAGGCAAGCGCTGGTGTTCGTTCGCGAGGCCGCTAGCGAATGTCCTCAGACTTTGTTCAAATTGATGGAGCCAACCTACCAATAGATCTTGGTGGTGCATCCGAGAGTTCCACTCAACCTGCAGAGACAGCTGATTATCTTTGATGGATGCCAAGATTGAAATCAGGGCATATCTCGATGACCCTGCACGTTGCTGGTTTCTGAGGCCCGAGATCCTCTCCTGGATCTCGTCGCTACATCTCTTGAACAAAGAGCCATCTTTCTCGAATTGCTGGAAAACCCCGAGATAGTTGAGAGTTACCTCCATGGGATGATGGTGCTCGAACGCCTCCTTGCCAGCTGTGCTCAGGAAACGTGATGCGAAGTAGGCTAAGCCATTGAGTGGAACATTGTTACGGAACTCGCTGACATCGTTGAGAATGTTGCCGTAGCCGTTTGTGATTACGGGAGAGAAAGTTGTGAACCAGCCAACAGTGGTAGACGGGTCCACCTCAGGAACGAAGATTTCTCGTCCATGACACTCAATGAACAAACCAGGGGAGCGATCGAAAATCTCAACAAACGAGTCAATAACAGAGGCCAACAACAAATCATGAGCTCCCCGTGCAGGCACTCCCTGCGCTGAAACCAGTTGTTCAGAGATATATGAGTCGAGAGTGATGGTATGAGAAACACAGTCCCCGAAACAGTTCCTCTCATCTACCATGCCCCAGAATGACAAATCAGTGGCAAGTGCATGAGCCGACGGAGGCAAAACGCTGTGTGGTAGTAAGTTCGATGAGAAGCGATGTTGCTCTAATGTCCAATGTTGGAATGATGTTGCTTCGTCTGCGATCGGCGTCTCGAAGAGGAGGTATGACTCCAACTCGCGCAAGAGTATCCGCCACGACACTGCATCTACGACAAGGTGATGGATTGTCATAGATAGGAGGGTGCGACCCTGAGACTCAAATAAGTCCATGGCCACGAGAGGACCGTCGGAGAGATGGATTGACCTCTTGGCCTCGCTGATGCACTCGACAACGTAGTTGAGCTGTTTCCGACTGTGGAACCTTATGCGACAGTAGTCAACGACGCTAATGGCAGATCCAACAGGTAGATATTGCGTCCATTCGCCATCGCGACACTTGAACTGCGCGCAGAGCATTGGATGAGCCTTGAAGAGGGATTCCAGGGCCGCCAGCAGTTCTTGCTGGTCTACGGCCTGGGTGACTTCAACGACCATGGTCTGCTGATCAAGATCGTCTCCCTTGGGCGACGTATGGAAGTGAAGTTTCTGAATGGGAGAAAGGACAAAAGCTTGCGGTCCTGCTGGATCCATGGACGTGTTAATCTGTGCTGGAACTGGCGAGGCAGCTGCTCCAATTGATTTGGCTAGGCGCTCAATTGACCGGTACCGAAGGATATCTGCAGCCGATATGTTCATCCCAGTCTGCCTCGCCATACTGCTAATGGTCATGGCCGAGATGGAATCTCCACCTGGATAGTTTGATGAGCCTCGTGAGAAACGCGCGATATTGATACTGATAAACTCACCGAGGTGGTAAAATGAGGTGTTCCAGCGAATTTCGTCCTCGTTGACATTCAGAGCCTCACTCCAGATGCTCCTTAACCTCGTCTCCAGCTCCGTACCATCTCTTTTAGTGCTGTCGTCGTCCATACGTGGCAACAAGCCGGCGAACTCATCTGGAGTAAGTCTTTCAAGATACTGAATCACCCCCTTTCGATCGAGTTTCCCCGAAGAATTCCTTGGCAGGGATTCTAGAATGAACCATAGCTCTGGGTTCATATAGGGCGGTAGCTTGTCAAGAAGAAACCCTCTCATGTAGTTGATATGCTCAAGCCAAGGTGCGTCCAGGATCTTGATAGGTGATGCAAACATGCTTGAGGGCGGCGCTACAATTGAGCCATTGAGCATGACGACGGCCACCAATCTCTTCGCACAAGGCCCAGACTTCGGAACAACGGCGAGGCAATGCTGCACTCTGGGCTCAAGGATCAACTGTCGCTCAATTTCTCCCAGTTCAATTCTCTGACCCCTGAGCTTGACCTGCCCATCTCTTCGCCCGACAAAATGAAGTTGACCAGCAGAGTCGTATTTGACTAGATCGCCGGTCTTGTAAAGTCTTCTACCAAGTGCCCAATCAAGGCCCTCAACGAACGAGATTGATGTTTGTGCAGGATCGCCCAGGTAACCCCTTGCAAGAATTGGACCTTCCACCAGGAGCTCACCTACTGCACCAATAGCTTGAAGGATGCTTGAGTCATCAGGCCTAGCAACATATGCTGCGCACCCGGGAACGGCGAACCCAATGGTAGTAGGGCTGATGTCTTTTGTGAATGGCGGACTGATTGTGCTAGTCACGCTGCACTCCGATGGGCCGTAAACCTGGATGAGTTCTGTGTGTGGTCGACAGGCCCAGCTCTGAATGTTTTTCGCAGTCATTGCCTCTCCACCAAGAACCATGGTTCTCATCGTCGGTAGTGTAACCGGCGTGAACATCTCGGCGAATGAAGGCGTGAGATGTGCCCAATTTGCCCCTGACGCTGATGCAAACCTGGCTAAGTCTGGGCAGCTCAACCGGTCGTTCTCACGTGGAACACATAGACAGGCACCGACGGCGAAAGTTGTTAGATGATCTTCCATACTCGTGTCAAACCCATACGAAGCAAACTGAAGGACTCTCGAAGTGGAATTGATGTGTATTCCATCGCTATGAGCTTGAGCCGCATATGCATATGCTCGATGTTCCACAACGACTCCCTTTGGCTTGCCCGTAGAACCGGAGGTGAAGATGACGTAGGCTGGACTGTCGGGAGAAACAGATGGTAGCGGAATAGTATGGTCTTTCTTCGGAGTGGCCTGGTCTAGATCCAATTGAAGGACCTGACCGACCAAATGCTTGATTGATGGCGCTTGTTGCTTCGAGCAGATGGCAAGTCCAGTTTCTGTGGAGATTGCCAACTGCTGCAGGATCTCCTGTCGCCGATTTTCGGGATTCGAGATGTCAACAGGCGCGAAGGCATTACCACTCTTCAAGACGCCGAGAAGGGCGACGGAATACCATTTTGACTTCTCGAAGCAAAGCGCGATAAAAGCTCCAGGTCCAATACCCCGCTGCAAAATCTCTTGAGCGACAATGGAAGCAGCTTCATTGAGCTCTTTATAGGTCATGTGTCCATCCCACGCGTGGACTGCCTGCGCATCAGGCTGAAGCCGCACTTGATTCTCGATCAGGCGATGAATGCAGGTCAATCGAGGACCAGGCAGCGGAGCATGCATACGTGAGTTCCACGTTGCGACTTGTTGCATGTCCCACCTGCTAATCGCGGTTGTTGTAGCGATGGTAGCTTGCACATCGTCCATCTCAATCAACCTTGATAAGACGCTTGAAAACGTATGCGATACGTTGCTTGCCATTGCCGACGATAACGTGGCGGTCGAATAAGCGAGTCGCACTTGAATCTCCGAGTCCGAGTAGACAACCTTTAGCACAATATCGAAATCGGAGGCATTATGGGACGAGAGTAGCCTGAAAAACGTGCTGCCGGTGGCGTCGGACATGGAAGGCGAGTAATACGAGGTTACGATGGTGTTGAATAGCTTGGTTTCGTTGGTTCCGAGTATCCGCTGCACCTTGCCAATAGAGAAGCATTGGTGTGGTAGCGCGTTTAAAAAGTCTTCTCTGATAGTATGGAGAAGACCTTGGAGCGACATGTTGTCGATTCCGCCGACGCGGCAGACTAGCAAGTTCATCATCGGCCCAACGATTTGAGACACTCCAGGAATTGGTAGACTTCGCCCGGAAGAGAGGTAACCGAAGCAGATATCCGGATCGCCCGTATAAGTGTGAAGAACAAGAGCCCAGACAGCTTGCAGCACATTCGATATGGTCGCATTATGCTTTTGGCAGAAGACGCGAATGTCGTCTAGACCAACATCAAGAGGCATCTCCGAGACGTGGAAAGACCCGGCACCGCCTGCTTGGTTGTCGTTCATGACAGGGAAAGAACATGGCTCTGTCCCGTCCAGATAGTCGACCCAGTAGTCGAGCGCGCCGTCTTCATCCGTCTGGGTCTGTAAGTAGTCGATGTATCTCTCGTATCCAGGTGCTTGGCTAAGAAGCCGAGAGCCTTGCAACCCTTTGACCAACTCATCTACGATTATCATCAAGGAGCTACCGTCAACGGTCAAATGGTTTAAGTCCATCTGAAATAAAACTCGACCTGGATTTTGGATATCGACGTAAGCGATGATTTGGTGCTGATGTCTCTCTTCATCTGCATTGACTGTCCCAAGATCCCCGTTTGCGAATCGACGTCGTATCTCCTCCAGATCCTTCACATGGTCGATGACCAAAGGTTCCGGTTTAGACTTGAGAACAACTGCATCTAAGAGACGGCCAGATGTGGTATCCGAGGTTTCGACGTAGACAGTTCGGAGAGTTTGGTGACGGTGAATAATGTCGTTCCAACAGGTTTGGAAGTGATCCAGATCAAACTCGGCCTCAGTCTCAAAGAGCCCACGCGTCCGGTACAGTCGCTTAGAGACCATCTTCTGACCAATATACATGCTCTCTTGCATTGGGCTGCAAGGATAAACGTCTTCGACAGCATCGTCGCTCACGTTGTGCTTCTCTCGCAACTCGTGAAAAATCCTGTCAAAATCATAGTCGGGAGGCATCTGCGGGAATATACCATCTCCCTGTCTCAGTTGTTCGGTCGAAGAACAGCCTGCTTGATTGCTGAAAGCTAGCGAGGCGACTTCTTTCAGGGACCTGTGGAGTAGATCTTGGAACCGGACGCCCAGGCCTTGCTCAGCGCATTTTTGGTACAGGTGAACTGCTTTGAACGAGTCTCCTAGAAAATGATGAGCACCTCCATGAGGGTAGAATTGAGAAAATCTTGCGGGGCTCACCTCCAAGGGTAACAAATGAAGACGTATCTTCAATATTTTCAACCGGAATCGTCAAAATGTTGGAAATAAAAGTTCTGAGCTGACTGAAGACGACTTGCGTCGTGCCTTCCGGAACGGTGGTGGCAGCCATGACGGGCAAACGTGAGATCTCGATCTGGATTGTAACGCAACAGACTTAGCTGAGGTTGAGTACTTGCACTTCACTGGTACAGTACCTCTAGTCAAGTACTGAGTCACTCGTCAAATACAATCGCAGCTAGAATGATCTATATCAGATTATCCAAAGTTAACGCTATAGCTAGAAACGATAAAATGCCCTAAAAGCTTCGAAGAGCTGACTGTCCAGGGTCTACCTAGTATGCATGGCTCTATACTGAAATGGCGCTCGCAAACTTCGAGTCGTTCTCAGCATCCACCTGGCCTGCCACGCCGGACTGGCGTGAACATGTTTCGGTCCGAACCCCAACTCTATTCCGAAGCAGCTTTAAACACCAACTACATGTAACTGGCTCACAGCAAAGGATCCTCCATAAAAGTGTGAAGCAAGCACCACAAACATCGGCTGTTGGCTGACCTGAGAGATTCTGAGAGCCGGTAAAGTACGTGCAGTGAGGTGTGGAGAGCCCAGCGGTGATGTTTCTCACCACTATTTCCTGGCGTAGACAAGGCGATTCGGAGCATCTTGGGTGACCACAGTGTGCGCACCGACATAATTGGGAGAACCAAATTGTGAACTGAAGGACTCCGTGTGACTCGAATTAGTGGCAGCGATCGGCACTTGGGCTAGACGTGCATGCTTCTGTAACGCGACAACCCCAGATTTGACCACACGCAACCTTGCTTGACTGCTACTTGAACTGAAGCTCATACTCAATACTTCGCAATAAAGTGAGTTGACCGGCAGCCGACGCTTTACTACCAAGACTTCAAGGATGAAAAGCTCCGGTTCTTAAACCACGCATCGCATCAGCGCACAGCGACGTCACCCAAGCACATCTGATGCTAGCAGGGGGTCAAGGCAATCAAGAACGACAAGCAAATAAGGGCGCTTCATCCTCGATATCGTTTGCGCTTCTTATCTCTAGTGTCTTGAAACTGCCAGGGCGCCACGAGATAAACCTGCTTGCCCACGCGTCCACCCACAGACACTGACATTCTGCGGCTCGCGTTTTGACGTATGACGAAATGACTTTGATTTCATATTAATAGCGAGTGCACTCTTAACTTCCCACGATGGCATTTGTAGTCTTTCGTACATTAATTGTTTTTCATCCGACGACTGGAGCCTCACTAAACCCTCTAACTGCCTAAGTGGTGATATTGCCGTCAATTACAGCAATCCGAAGGCCACAGGTTAAGGTGCGACAATATTGGTAAAGTCGGCATTATGGGCGATCTAGGTAACTTGCAACGTACTTCATACGTCTCAATTGCCCACTGACGACTCCTCAGGACATGAACAGCAGGCGACTCGCGAAAATGACATCATGTTCCAGGCTTTTGAATGGAATATTCCAGCGGATCAACAGCACTGGAAACGCCTGAAAGAGGCAGTACCGAAGCTCAAGGCCATCGGAGTCGACAACATTTGGCTTCCGCCGGGTTGCAAAGCACAGTCAGCGGAGGGCAACGGATATGATATTTACGATCTTTACGATCTGGGCGAGTTCGACCAAAAAGGCGGCAAGTCGACGAAATGGGGACCAAAAGAGGACTTGATTGAGCTTTGCAAGGCGGCCAAAGAGAATGGAATCGGGGTCTACTGGGACGCAGTACTGAACCACAAGGCTGGAGCTGACAAGACGGAGCGGTGCCGCGTTGTCGAGGTTGACGAGAACGATCGCAACAAAGAGACATCCGAGCCCTACGAGATCGAAGGATGGTTGGGTTTTAACTTTCCGGGTCGAGGAGACAAATACTCCAGCATGAAGTGGCACTGGGAGCACTTTGGTGGCACCGATTGGAACCAGGAGAATGAGCGCAAGTCCATCTATAAGATCATGGGTGACCACAAAGAATGGTCTCGGTCTGTTGGCGACGAGCAGGGTAATGCCGACTACATGATGTTTGCCGACATTGACTACTCACACCCTGAGGTCCAAGACGACGTCAAGAACTGGGGGACATGGATCACCAAGGAATTAGGTCTCAGGGGCTTCCGTCTCGACGCTGTGCAACACTTCAGTCAGCGGTTCACGAACGAGTGGATCGATAACTTGCGAGATGAGTGCGGTAAAGACATGTTCATCGTCGGCGAGTTCTGGACCGCGGAGACCGAGCCGATGAAGGAGTGGCTGGAAACGATGGACCACAAATTCTCCCTTTACGACGCGCCTCTCGTCTACAACTTCAGTCAAATCAGCACCACCGAAGGCGGTGATTTGAGAAAAGTCTTCGATGGCAGTCTTGTACAAGAGAAGCCCATCAATGCGGTCACTGTGGTAATGAACCACGACACACAACCAGGTCAAACCATGGACACGAAGATTGAAGGCTTCTTCAAACCCCTCGCGTACTCTCTCATCTTGCTCCGTCAGGAGGGCTATCCCTGTCCCTTTTATGGGGATCTATACGGGATGAAGAAGGACTCGGAGCCGCCATCCTGCGGGGGAAAGCTTGCTGACTTGATGCTTGCTCGTAAGCTTTATGCATACGGTTCTCAGGAGGATTACTGGGATGATGCGAATTGTATTGGTTTCGTGAGGCGTGCAACCTGGGACAAACCTGACGGGCTTGCCTGTGTGATGAGCAACAAGGGCCCTGGCGACATTCGCATGGCGGTTGGCCAGGAACACATCGGTGAGAGGTGGACCGATTTGCTAGGCTGGGAGGCCGGCGAGGTGGTCATTGACGATGAGGGATTTGGCATCTTCAAGTGTCCAGGCGTCTCGGTATCTGTATGGGTTAACAAAGATGCTCAAGGTCGTGAAAGGTTTCCTACCAACTTTGATTCGAACATCTATCAGGAATAGATGGACGAATCGTAGTTGTATAGGTAAGGTATTTACTGAGGCAGTCAGATGTTAGAAAGATGTTCCAGTTTCGATGACAGCAAACTCCCCTTAAACAGCTTCATTAATAAAATCTTCAGACTCCTGTTAAACTCATGCTTCATATGTGAGCCTGTGAAGTCAGCTATTGCATATGGAGTAAGTCTTCATGCGACGCGAAGACATCTATGATGTGAGAACAACATCTCATAGCTTGGGTGGAATAGTAGGAGCTCGCAAGCTTGAGTTCACAGAACGGGTTGACTCCGGGTGTAGTCCCTCTCAGCAATGTCCATCTGCGCGACATCTCAAAATATATTGAGGCACTTGGTCATGACCACTCACCTAACCACCTAACTCATCAACTTTCCTTCATAGTGGAGAAAATACAACGTTGCGGCTTCACCAGATTCTGCTTTCGGACTCGGACGCCGCGCACATTTTTGGCCCACGTGTCGCTCGCGAGGGAAACTCATCCCGGATTCCGTTAAGAACCACCGCCTTAGATCGCGCCACCACAGGCATCCTGATGAATTCTCATCTTGGTTCGGATTGGTCAAACTTTCCGTGACATCGTATCTCGGCAAGTAAAGGTTTAGAGGTAAATCCGCCGGACACAATCCGAGCCCGCAGGCCATTCTGGCCTCCATCCCCCCAGCTGTGTGGAGGCCGGAATACACTCCGTCAGTTGACGTTCAAGCCTCTCTGGAATCCAGCATAGTTTGAGTTGGTCAGTAGATCCCGTTCCTTACTTTGATTCCTAAATCTGTGACTAAACTCTGACATACTTTTCGGCTTGCTACATGTGGTAATGCGAAGAGCGACGGACAGTCCGACAAACAGCGGAAGATCAACGTGATGTCATTCGGGCCCGGCTTCTGGGACGTTCGACAGCCACCGCCTCAACCGAGGCGCCGCTTGCATCAGTCTTGACACTCATGGGGATTAAAGCGACTGACTCCGAGACGAATTCTTTGCCTAATTGGTGTTGAAGGTCTTGGTCCTTTCCAGATTCAGTGTTGGTGAGGTCGGTTGCGCTGGCTTATGCCCAGACCGGCGTAGCCCAGCGTGGGGCTCGTCTTTGGTCTAGATGTTGGAGGCAATTGTGCTGGAGAAACGCCAATCAAGTTGGCCATGTGTCAAGGCTGAACTACACAAATGCCTAGCTCAGGATTTTGCCAGGAAGCAGCATCACCGAATCGAGATCAAGTGTGGCTAGAAAGTACCTGGACCCTTCTAAGGTGGCAGAATAATTCAGGCGAAAGTTGTCAAGAAATTCAACTTTTACCACATCGCAAGCTTTGGAGGAATCATGGGTGAAACATGAGTCGAATCGCGACCAATAACCCCCAATTCATTTACAGCGTAAGGAAGCTGAGCCCTGGCCAATTATTGCCGAAAAATATATCCGATTCGGGCGATCGTAAAAGACATAAGCATCTAAGATCCTTTCTCAGCCTCCTGCTCAAGAAGCTTGACCCTGACTGGAGGGACGGGAGCATCGGGTGGCTGCCGGCAGTGCGCCATGACAAACACAAAATGTCAAAAAATAGCACATCAGAGTGACCAGACAGCGCCAGCAAGGCACCCAGATGGAAGCCTGCGCGCCCCCCTGTAAGTCGTAAGCCAAGCCACCATGGTTGATGGGGAGCCTAAAGCGGTCTAGGGCACTGACATCCCCGTGGAAAACCCGACGATGGCGCCCTCGAGAGAGCTTCGTTGTTGTTCAATTTTGATGAGCTGTTTGGGAGTGTGGGGATACGGCTTTGCCCTATGAGGCCCTGTGTGCGAGGATCTTGCTGTTGATCCAATGTTGCTACCGAAGTTCAGGTTTTCCCTGCAGCCGGATCTCTGAATCTCCGGTTCTGACACCCGCACCGGCGCGTGTTCATCTTTCGCGACAGATGGCCTACTTAGCCTTTGAGGATTATCTAGACGTCGGCTGCGAAAGAGACCATGATGTCACTTCAAGTTACGTGATCTTCATTGTGCCTCCCTACCTTAACTGCCATGAAGCTCTTGGTCAGTAAAATCAGGCCCTAGGCCTGCCACTGACTCGAGTACCTTATTCAACCATAGGTAAACGTAATATCGACTGTCTACACCATCGGGATGAAATCCCTTCAACTTCTGTGTACGCCGACTGGCTGTTTAGCTCTCGATGTTTGGACGGAAATAAGCAATGGGCGGCAATCTACCTCGGACGAAACCAACAGTACTTTAGCATCAGTTTTGAGCCGACTAACCACAGACCTGGACTTTCAATCATAAAGTCTCACATCATTTGGGCCAATTCCACAGTCATTCGATTTGTGGGAAATTGACATGACTGGAGTTCTTCGTGGTGGACAAATCAACGATGACTTTGCTATGGACCCCATACTGTTGACGGTGGGACGCCTTTGCTTGCTGATGCTTGTTCAGCTAATGCCGTTGCGGCGATCCTGGAGGATTATGGCTCCACGTGTTAGCGCACCGCGCTTCGGGGGTACCCCAACGCGTCTGTTGCATTCCTTCTATGTTTACCCTGTGTACTCCGTACGGCTGGCGCAATGGCGAAGCGAAGATTCGGTTAGGAGCTCGCACGCAGACGTTTGCGGCGCATCTTCTGGGGGCACTGCGAGCAATTCATCTGAAGAAAGAATCATTTCTCTGTAATTCGATGGCTTCTGTCCACAAGTATCCGTACTTACCGTAAGAACGATACCCGCACCATTCAGTGATTAAAGCACACAGTCACCGTGGTTCCTTAAGTCTCGGGACCTTATGATTTAACCACCATGGCCCCGTCGGGATACATGGAGTGAAGCGTCGTCCGCCGAAGGATTCAATGAAGTATCATCCATCAAAGAAGCCGTTCGACCACTATCGCTATTCCAGGAAACCGAAGAACAAGGTGACCGGGTTGGGGGGGCTGTGAGGAACGCCGCCCCGGCGCCAGCATGCAGGCTAGTCTTCTTAGCGTAGACCCCGGCAAGCCTTGTTTTCTTACTCCAAAGGTGAGCCCGTCCCGTCGTGCCTAACACACAGCCTCACCTCGCCTGTTTAGGCTACTCGTTATTCTATTATGAATCCCCGAACACGCTTGTCTGATGTCGAGGCTGGGGAAAGGAGGAGACCTAGCTGTCGCTCAAATCGACGGTCATCATGGCGACCGGGGGTTTGATATAAGACCCGACGCTTCTTCCAGACTTTATTCCAAGCCAGCGAGAATCTGAATAGCATCTACAGCGTCCCGGATTATCATCCTACTTACTTGTTCGTAAAACTATTTGTTACCGGTTGTCGAGATGCGATCATCGTTCACCTGGGCACTAGCCCTCGCAGGAGCTGCTTCCGCAAAGCCTACGCAGACAACCTCGCAGGCAACACATACCGGACACCATGCGACTTCAACACCCGCAAACGCATGTGCCGTTGCACAAGCAGCCGCAGAGTCGTTCCTCTCATCCAGACCCAGCGCAACAGCAGCTGCGATAAAGCCTTCAATCGCGTACGAGTGTCTTAAGTCAATCCCTGTTGATAAGCAGAATGACCTGGATCTTCTCAACTACATCGAGCCATACATCAACTTCCAAAGCACCTTGGAGCCCCTAGCGAATCCTCCGCAAGGCTATCTCGTTCCCGGTGTGGATGTTATTGGGGGACTCGGCCAGATCCGAGCCCGTGTGATGAAAGACAAGTACAAGAGCCAGATCGAGTTTGCGCTCGATATCAAGCGGCTGGTAGGTCTTGATCGTCATGAAATCCGCAGTCTTGGCTGCCTTTTCAACAAGCTCTGACATTCACTAGTTTACCCAAGCTTCTGATGGCCACTTCAACTACAACCCGGCCCTTCTCAACCTCTTCACGTTCCGCAGTCTGAACAACCTTGTTTCCGTTTCTGATGACGGTCTCAGCGTTCCGAGAGTGTATCTCATCAGTGACTTCCTCAAGTCTTATGTCAATGACACTGATGTCTATGATATCAAGAGCATCGATGATGTCCCAATCACTGAGTGGCTTGAGGCGCAGTCTGCCCGAGTCCTCACCCAGGATCCTGACGCCAAATACAACTCCCTCTTCAACACCAACCCTGCCACGGAGTTCCAAGGTGTTGGCAACGAATTTGTTTTACGCTTCCCTGGGCATTGCCCGGACAAGCAGGTGATTAAGTTCACCAACGGCACCGAGTACGTTGATCAGCTCGTAGCCATTGTCGGTGAATCGTTGGTCGAGTATCTCAGCAGTGTCGAGGCCATTCACTCCAAGGTGGAGCTGCCCCCAACCAGCACCAGCTCTGTTGCGTCCTCCTCGTCCGCTACGTCCTCATCCACCTCCAGCGCAACACCTACCACGACCCAGATCCCGGGATACCCGTTGCCAGTGTCCAAGCACGCCAGTGACTGGATCTCTACGTACTTCCTCAACGGTTCCTATGGGGACACCGCCGTCCTAGCCGTGTCTTCTTTCGCTCCGTCCGATATCGACACTGCAAACAGTACCTTTGAAATTGCTGAGGCTAGACGTGTTGTTGATGTCTTCCTAAAGAAGGCTAAGGAGGCAGGCAAGAAGAAGCTCGTCATCGACCTCCAGGCCAATGGTGGTGGATTCATTGCCGCGGGTTTCCAGCTCTACAACCAGCTTTTCCCTAAGACCACAGATATCTGGGATGGAAACCGTATTCGTGCTCACGAGGCCTTTGACGCTATTGGACTGACCGCCCAAGAAGCTTCTCCCGATACTCTGGCAGACTTGGTTTCGAACGCACTCAACGATAAGCTTGAGCCCTTCAATACTTGGGAAGACCTCTACGGCCCGGAAGTGATTGCCGGACAGAATGTCACAAATCTATTGCGCTACAACCAGACTCGCATTGGTTACCCCAAGAGCACCGGGGACCAGGTCTTCCTGCCAGAAAACATTGTTGTCATCACCGACGGCATCTGCGCCTCTACTTGCACCATCTTCACGGGTCTCTTGGTTAGAGAACAGGGCGTCCG